TCTGAAAACTCATATTATGAATGTATTAAATAGTCAGCTGGCAGTCCAAGGGTTGGCTAGTTCTGTTGCTATCAGCTGTATTACATGATATCCATGAAAACAAGAATATCAAAGGAGACTATTATTGGTTCCCTCCATCAGATTGTGCTGGCTATGTGTTTCATGTCTTTACTGGAATCTCTCAGATTAGCGACCTGCCCTATGGATCCGTAAGAAGAGGCATTATGGCTCAGACAATGGCAGAGAATAATCTGTATTGATCTGTTAATAATCAGACATTTACTTTAAACTGGGCAAAACAACTGAATAAAACTACATGGTAAAAGTACATCCGGGTAAGAGAATGCAGTGTGATGGAATCATAGAAGGCTGTTAAACCTGTGTACCCCCAGTGGGGGATTTTGATTGCTCCCCACTTCCTGTCCAGGTGACAAGTGTCAAACAGAACAAGAAATTAGTAAAAATCTCCTCCACACGCATATAGACAGCATGCAACCACTTGACGACCGGGCTATGGCCGAATGACGGATACAGCGCGGTCGTCCTGTTCTGCGAGGATCACATAACACGGTAAAGGGCCAATTACAACTGATCACCATGTAAAACACACTTGCTAGTTATTGGCAGTACTTTTTTCACACTGTCACACTGCCTTTTTAGTTTGTTTAGCAAAAAATAAAACCCCCAGTGGTGATTAACCACTTCAAGTCCAGACACTTTTACCCCCTTCCTGTCCAGGCCAATTTTCATCTTTCAGTGCTATCACACTTTGAATGACAATTACGCGGTCATACAACACTGTACCCATATGAATTTTTTAGCATTTTTTTTTTTTAGACAGATAAAACTTTATTTTGGTGGTATTTATTCACCACTGGGATTTTTTTTTTTTGCTATTTAAATGAAAAAGTCCAAAAAATTTTGAAAAAAAAGTGTTTTTCCTATAAAAGTTTGCAAATAAATAAGCTTTCTTCATAAATCTTGGCCAAAATGTATTCAGTTATCTTTTTAGTAAGAAAAAAAACCCCAAATTCGTTTATAGCCAAAAATGATAATTTTTCAAAATGTTTTTTACATTTTTATTTATTTTTTTTTTTTTTATTATTATTAGTTTTTTTTACATGGTGTCACCCTAGCAGTACAGTGTCACCATAGTGACACTGTACTACTTGGGGGGGGGTGATGAAGATGCGTTTTTTTTTTTTTTTTTTACCCATAAAGGCTGTAAAAAGCAATCATTTCTCCTCTCTGGCTGCATTTTTGCAGCCATTGAGAAATACCGTGTGATCTGTGATTGGTCACAGCTTGTCACAAGGTCCCATACAACGATCGGTGTTTCACTGTGTCTGGAGGACACAGCAGGCACCGGATCGCGGTGCTGTGCGCTTCCAGGGAGCGCGCACAAGCATGGAGCAGGGAGGCCGTTTATAAACGGCCTCCCGCCCCTGCACTGCTCCTGTCCGGCTGTTTATATACATGGGCCGGACGGGAAGTGGTTAAAAATGCATGTATTTTGTGGCCATTGCACGGGCATGCACAATTTTAAAGCATGTCATGTTTGGTATCTATTTGCTCGGCGTAACATCTTTTATATATTATCAAACAATTTGGCAATATATTGTGTTTTTCTGAATTAAAATTCTAAAAAGTGTATTTTTCCCAAAAGATTTGCTTTTGAAAAATCGCTGCGCACATACTGTGTGATGTAAAAACTTTCAACACCCATCGTTTTATTCTCTAGGGCTTTAAAAAAAAATATAATGTTTGGGGGTTCAAAGTAATTTTCTAGCAAAAAAACCTGTTTTTTCATGTGAACAAAAAGTGTCAGAAAAGGCTTGGCCTTCAAGAGTGGGTGATGTGTGGGTGGCATAAGCTTCTAATTTTTGGCCCTGAAATGCCAGGATAGTAGAAGCCCTCCCCAACCCCCCCCCCCCCCCCCCCCCAAATGACTCCTTTTTGGAAAGTAGACACTCTTAAGGTATTTGCTAAGCGGCATGGTGAGTATTTTGCAGATCTCATTTGTTGCCACATTTTTCAAAACATATCTGTAAAATACTCCAAATTCCTCTTATCAAATTCCTTGGGGTGTCTACTTTCCAAAAAGGGGTCATTGGGAGAGGGGGAGGGGGGTTTGTACTATCCTGGCATTTTAGGGCCTTTGAAACGGTGATAGGTAGTGGGGAAATGATATGAGGAAATATGCCCTTTGAAAGCCTGGAGCTGGTCATTGGATTTTTGGGGCCTGTATATAAACTAGTCTGCCAAAAAGTCTCTCACGTGGTATCCCCATACTCGTGAGAAGTAGAAGAATGTGTTTTGGGGTGTTATTCCACATATACCCATGGCATGCATAAGCAATATATAGTTTAAGTGACAACTTTTGTGTAAAGGGGGGGGGGAGAAAGTGTCATTTTCAAAAAATTTGTGGCAAAAAATAAAATGTTCCATGGACTACCCAATCACATGCAGGGAAATAAAAAAAAAAAAAACTGCATTTTTGCTTGAACATGTTTGGATGATGGAAGTCAGCAGAGCTCTGGAGCAAATGCCCTTGCCTTTAGTAAATCAACCCCATAGTTTGTATAGTGCATGGCCAGCTGAAGTCAGATTGGGCACTTGACAATAACTAAAGCACAAGAAACAGACCAGCCTCATGAGGCCCTGTAATATTCATTTTAACCCCTTCAAGTCCTGACACTTTTACCCCTTTCCTGTCTAGGCCAATTTTCAGCTTTCAGCGCTATCACACTTTGAATGACAATTGCGTGGTCATGCAATACTGTACCCATATGAATTTTTTAGCATTTTTTTGAGACAGATAAAGCTTTATTTTGGTGGTATTTATTCACCACTGGTATTTTTTATTTTTTTTGCTATATAAATGAAAAAGTGAAAAAATTTTGAAAAATGTGTTTTTCTTATAAAATTTTGCAAATAAATAATATTTCATCATAAATCTTGGCCAAAATTTCTTCAGCTATCTTTTTATTTTTTTATATTATTTATTTTTCTACATACTGTCACCCTAGCAGTACAGTGTCACCATAGTGACACCGTACTACTTGTGGGGGGTGATGAAGATTTTTTTTTTTTTTTTTTACACTGATTGCTTTTACACCCATTAAGGCTGTAAAAGCAATAATTTCTCCTTCTCTCTGGCTGCATTCTTGCAGCCATTGAGAACTACTGTGTGAGCTGTTATTGGTCACAGCTTGTCACATGGTACAAGGCTGTTGTGAATAGCCTTGTACCATGTAACCTCTGTGATCATTGACAGATTTCACACGTAGTAAGCAATGATGTCAGAAGTGACATCTTGCTTACTACTCTACGTGTGATCACTGATTGGCCAATCAGTAATCACATGAATGGGACCTTGCACAGAGGTCCCATATGACAATCGGTGTTCCACTGTGTCCGGAGGACACAGCGGGCACCGGATTGTGGTGTTGTGTGCTCCCAGGGAGCGTGCACAGTCCAGAATGGTGGGCACCGTTTATGAATGGCAACCCGCCCCTGGACTGCTACCGTCCAGCCGTTTATTAACCAATTGCCGGCTGGACGGCAATTGGTTAATAACAAACGAGTTATCACAAACAAGCTTGTTGTATCAGCCCTGGATCACATTGTTGCAACTTGCCATGCGATTTGACAGTTTCAAATCCTGATTGGTAATCAGACGGGGGAAGCAGCACACAGAAGGCTTTTTATCATCATGCATAGAATGCATGAAGGTAAAAAAAAAAACCTTCTGCCTTTTATAACCACTTTAAAGGGCAAACAAAGTACCATAAACAGCACCCTGCTATCTGAAACACTAGGCAGAAATGACAGGATTGCCTAAAGCAGACGGGATTTATACCAGCTAGGACTGCCCGTAGGTGGTGCTGAGTTGTTTTTTCTGCCTAGTGTCCTCCTCCTGTTGGTGGTGCTAAAACCCAGTGGTCAACAATAGAAGAGCTGTGTCTGTCAAGGAACTGAAGGGATTTTACAGTAACAAAAAAAAATCCTGGTTTTCACATCTCTCACCACATGATGGAGCCAAAGGTATGCTTTTCAAACCACTAAGGCTCAACAGTGGGCACAGACAAGAAAACGGATTGTACTGAGTGTGCTCACCTACTACTGTGTCCTGGACACACTGGGGTGCCCGTCTGATCACTAATCAGGGTTTGAGTGTGATAAAAGGAGTTTTTTTTTGTTTTGTTTTTTTGTTTTTTTCCCTGGCATACAGATCAGAATTAAGAAGCTGCACATCTGTGATTGACCAGATTCTACAAAGAAATTAGATAACCTGTTTGAGCGACTTCTGTATGCAGAATCTTGTGGTAGTATGACATGGGTGAGAGTCAGGGGCGGACTGACAACTCATGGGGCCCTCGGGCAATAGGGGATCATGGGGCCCCTGTGTCCTTGCCCAAACTCAAAAAAGCCTATGAAACAGGTACTAGGGGCATCTCATGGCGTCCCCTACTGACCCCGGGCCCTCGAGCAGTGCCCGAGTTTCCAAATGGTCAGTCTGTTGAGAGTACACTTGTTCCTGTACAGGCAGGAAAAGTAGGTAGACATCCTAAGAACTGGCCTACTCCCAGGTAGCTGTCAACCAAATATACGCACCATAGCTATTTTCTAGTTCTTTGAATAACAGTTGTCTAGATGGTCTGTCTGGGTTCTCTGGTGTCTACTGACATGAGGATCCTTTTCAGATCCTCCATGAATTGGTCAGATCAAACATCAATCATCTCATGTCTATAGATGGTGCAATCTTCAGAAGGTAAGAATACTAGCAACCTCTAGAGAAACTGGCAAGTAAATCAACTGACTGCATTCAATGAATGCCAGGATTAATTAATTTGGTACCACTTAGCAGGTAAAGCTGTGTACTCTGAGCTAGTTTAAATGTAAAAGTAAATTAACAGAAGGGGATTCCTTCACGCTCAAATTTATTTTAATTTGAAAAATGAATATCTAACTTCATTTTTTTTTTTTTTTTTCTCCAGGAAGAAGAAAAACTAATTCAACAAGAACTTGCCAGTTTAAGATCAACTGTGTCCTCTCCAAATACAACATTGGTGTGTTAGTCTGACTGTTTATAGAATAAGGTTTTTTGTGTGATGTCTACAACTGCATTGTCTTCAAGTGGAACTCTACACAAAACCTTTTCTTTTAAAGTGGTTGTAAACCCTTACAAATACCCAGTGAAGTGATCGGCCTCAGGTGATACACAGAGATGAAACAAATGCTCTTACATAAGTTGTACCTGTTTGTCTGCATTCTTCTCTTGTTTACAGCTGTTCAAAATGCAGAATATATACAGCTTGTCTGAGCTTTCAGAAGCAGGGGATGAAATTACACTCTGCAGAGCTCAGTTAGAAGAGCTTTGAAAGCTGATTTGAGGGAAGGGATGCATCCCCCTTCACACAGGAACATAACTGAAACTGTCAATCTCCGGCTGTGTGCTGGAGGTGCCTTCTCTGTCACTTTTTCTCTTGGTGTCAGGAAAACTTGTCAGAAGTGACTCGGTCAGATAGCAGAGGAACAGAGCAGTAGACAGTAATGATACTTAGTGTTTTGGATTGAGACAATCACACATTATAGAGGGATATGCTTTGTTCATATTTCAAGTCGGAGGTTTGCAACCACTTTAAAGAAAGTGAGACGTTTTAGAATTTCCTTCTGTGTCTGTAAGGGACTGTTTCCCTCATTTTCTGTGACCGGGATAGTGGCCACTTGGGCAGGAAGTAAAGGGATAGTGGGGACATGTTCATAATGAAGATACTGTGCAGCTTTTGTGTCCTACTTATGACATAGAAAAAGCATGTAGGGACACAATTCAGCCTTTTTCAACTGATTTTCCTATTTCAAATTGAAGAGGAATAGGAACGTTTGAAAATTTTCTATAGTTTTCAAGGGATTAGTAGCGTATGTAGGATATTGAATAATTTGTTTTGTCCAATGAGGGCTGGTTCACACGAGAATGCGGTACAGGAGAACATAAGATGTGTTTCGTGCACTTTTCCCACATCGCAGGTGAATGCGCTGCTCTTGTGATCCGCATGTGGGTGACAATATATTGTTAATGGCACTCCAAACGCAGATTGCAAACCAGTGCATTTGCAGGCACCACATTGCGTGGTATTACAGTACCATGCGGTTTGGTGCAGAGCGTTTTGACAAAGTACCACCATTTTTTTCATTGCATTTTGCTGCCCATTCAAATGTGCAATCCTGGTGTGAACCAGCCTTTAAGGCATGCAGTGAAAACAATCAGACAATGTGGGTTATTTTAATTGTAATTTTATGAAATGCTTCAAAATGATAGAAACATCAAGTCTACCTTAGATTGTATGGCCCTTGAGGGTTAGGGACCGATGTGAATGTACAATATATATGTAAAAGTGCTGCCTAAATTGACTTATATTGCTATATAAGTTCCTGAAATAAATATAGAAAAATATCGGTTTGTGTTTCACAGGCTTAAAGGAAATCCACCATTGTTGGCTTCTCTTTCTCAAAATGTGAGTGGCCTGGATGGCTTAGTCTGTTAAACAGAACAAGTATGCAGATTGGGACTTTTGACTTTTTTCTGATCTACATACATGTTGCCATTTACTCTGGAAGTATTGGAGCCAGAATAAGTCTTCCCTGGCAGGCCCCATATTTCTCTCAAGATTATGTAAAATAAAAAAATAATTTTTTTGAAAACCGTGTAATGTAAATACATCTAATGATTAGTATGCTATGTCCACAATGATGTAGAAGCAGGGTTTGCGGGCATTCTGGACCGCTCACAATCCAGCACATCTAAGTTTGTTTTTTTTCTTGCTAAGGCTGGCCATACACTATACAATTTTTCTGTCCAATTTCTGCCCAATTTCCTTTAGATTTACCTTCAACTGTGTAGTACAAGGGTCTGCCTAATTGGATACAACTGAAAGTGTTGTTTGGGTTTGACCTCATATTATATGTTTTTTGGTAAATCTAAAGCAAAAATGCCAAGAAAAATTCTACAATGTATGGCCAGTCTAAGTCACTGTGCTAATATCTGTGCTTACGAGCCTCAAATTGCCGCAGCAGTCAGGACATCTGTAAATATATGTAATACAGATAAAATGCCATTGTTAAGTTGAGTCTGTGATTTGGTGACAGGATCTCTAGATCTACCAGTTCTTTGTACCATTTTGTCTCCTGCTTCATGTACTTTAGACTTCGAAAGCACTTAGCATTATAGGACTGTTATGAGGTCTGTTCTGCCCACCTTATCTCCTGCAGCAGCTGATCCAACAACAGCTACGGGGGAGAAGATGGCTCCATAACGGCACCTTTTCTTGGCTCTGAGCACTTTCCACAGTAAATCAATGGCAGGAGTAAAGAAGGTGGAGGTAACGTCTGCTTCTGCACTCCTTTTGCAATTGCTTATCTGTGGAAAGTGCTCAGAGCCAAGATAAGCTGATGTTATGAAATGTCCGTCTCCTTTCCAGCTGTTGTCGGATAGGCCACAGTGGGAGGGGAGGGTGGCAAGTTAGACCCTCATAACTAGGCCTAGAAAGCACTTGGCAACATGGGACAAAGTGCTAGATGTACTTTGACCCTCAAGAGATATAAAAGTAAAATATAAAATTCTAGATCTTCATTAAGGTTGGGTTTTGGTACAGGAATAGGAAGATCTGAAGCCTGCTTAAACAAATATAGTGGGGTTGTATAAAAAATACTGTGCTCCTGATCAAAATTAAAATCCTCGTCATGAACAATTTATACTTTTGCTAATACTTTCTAAAACATTGTTCATACCTTAGCCATAAACAAATGCCTTTGTGACTGATTCCCTTTGAAATGTTATCTGCAGAGTTTCTGAACAATTTGAGAATGAGTCATGTAATGGAATATGAAAGAGCATGCCAAATGAGCTGCTATTACAGGGATTCTTTTTATATTTCATTGTTGGATGTCTAGGATCTGGTTGTTTAAAATGCAGAGAAAAATGTGTTTCTACTCTTGGCAGAGGTCCTCTGCTGCAATGAGTCATCCCATTAATGATCTTTGTACATTTTCTGTGGATACACCGGTTCTAATCACTGGCCTCTGTTTCCGTTATAGAGACAGATGAAGGAGTGTATGGGTCAGGCTCATTTACTGTGAAATGCTTGGCTATGAAGCTTCCTTTGGCTATATACATGCTATTAAATTAGCACAACAAGGAAATCTACTTGAAAAACGAGTTGGTATGTATCCTCTTCTGTCTGGAGTAAGAAAATGAAGTATACGGCTTGTCTAATTCATCAATACCAGTCAAGTGCTTGCTTTAATTATAGTATCTTTACAGAATAAATGACTCTTGGATTCCTTTATATTACTAATGTCAACGCATTTCCCCCTCCAGTTGTTTTCACGACGTGTAAATTATTAAAATATTAGAAAAGGTTAATGTCTGCATTCCTCTTGCTGACATTTTTTGGACAATTGCTTGGGACCAAGACAAGCACCAATTATCAAGCAGCTGTCCGCTTACTAGATTTGTTTTTGGACAGCCCTGGGGGAGTGGGGTGGGAGTCCTGTCCGACCTCATAGGTTTACAAAACATGTAGGAACATGCACTACATGTACTTTGTCCCTTACGGAGCAGGACAGTGAAATAATGTGAAAGGTTTTTACATTCTCAGCAGCTCTGTTCCTGCTTAATATCTTCTTGGCTATTTCAAAAAGTTTTCTAATGCTATATTTTGTACCCAGGGGCGGACTGATAACTCATGGGGCCCCCGGGCAATAGGGGATCATGGGGCCCCTGTGTCCTTGCCCAAACTCAAAAAAGCCTATGAAAAAGGTACCAGGGGCATCTCATGGGGCCCCCCTACTGACCTCGGGGCCCTCAGGCAGTGCCCGAGTTTCCAAATGGTCAGTCCGCCCCTGTTTGTACTTCAATATTTTTTCAATAAAAAAATTATTGAAAGTAAAAAAATGTGAGAGTTCTTTGTTAAAGTGTATGTAAGCTCTAGCACAGAAATTATCTTTTTTGCTCCCTTTTGGTCTGCTACAGTTGAAGATGTATTGTTAAAGCTGGGCACGCACAGTATAAGGTAAGTCCAGTAAGGGGCATGCCACCTCAAGGACTTCTTTAATTCAGATCTTAGTTTTTATGGCAGTCCCAAAGGCACTGTTTGGCTTTGAGAGGAAAGTGGCCTGAAACCAACCCCCCTACCCTCCCCCACTGCCCATTCACAGGAGCTTTTGAATTTTATAAATGGGCTCACAAAATACAAAGGCTTCTGTGAATGGGCAGCAGAGGGGAATGGCGGGCACATCAGCTGCATGCGACTGTGGGAGCTGAGACCGGAAAGCCCAGCATTGTAGGTCCAGCATTGTAGGTCCAGAACTGTAACATTAGCTATCCTTCTGGAGCTCCATAAAACTGTCAGATGTAAATTAAAGAAATATGTGGAATGCACTGTTTGACATAAATGGTTGTATGCCATCACATTTATTGATGTGGCTGAATTCCAGGAATTCAGCTATAAATGTATTTGAGAAGTGCAAAAAATACCTGTTGATTTTTGTCAGAAATCTTGTGAGCTGATAATGGCAATATCACTGCTTCCAATAGGATATTAGTGATAGATGGTCCACATCACGGAAGGTTCCAATATAACAAAGTTATACATTTTGTATGTTATGCTGTGGCTGGTGTCGTACTCATGGGGCAATCTGTTCATAAGCTAGATATTAAGTATGTCTTAACTATATTTCTTTTTTTTAATATCCCCATCCTGATATTTGGTTGTGTTGTGATAATTAATTTTGGATTTTAACATATTTTATGTATGCTTATTCTCATGAGAGATGATACACCTTTAAAAATCCCATATACTCCTTTTCTGTTGGGAACAGATGTTGATGTCTTTATTATATAAGGCTAAAATGGAGCTAACTTTCCTTGCAGAGCTGTGTTTTTACGTAATTAACCCCTTCCCGTCCCTTTGGCATTTGTAAACAGCAGCAGGTTAAAGTGGTTATACTGAGATCATGATTGTTGCCCCAGACCTCCTGTGTAACTCTAAACTGGTAACCTGCAAGGGCTTTTAAAACGTTGCCTATGCAGATTTATAGGTACCGTAGTTTGGCACGTTTCTACGGTTGTATGCAATTTTCATGCGTGACATGTTTGGTATCTATTTACTCCCTGTAACATCATCTTTTATATTTTACCAAACATTTGGGTATTCTAGCGTGTTTTTGTGCATTCAAATTTATTAATGTGTATTTAAAAAAATAAATACGTTTGAAAAACTGCTGCGCAAATATTGTGTGACATACAAATATGCAACACACACCATTTTATTCTCTAGGGCAGGGGTGGACAAACTGCAGCCCAGCTATTGTGGAACTACATGTTCCATGAGACACTGCAAGGCTGACCATTAGAAGCTTGACTCCCAGAGGCAGAAGCATGATGGGACATGTAGTCCTGCAACAGCTGGAGGGCCGCAGTTTAAAAAAAACCCTGTTTTAGGGCCTCTGCTTAATAAATATATATATATAATATATATATATATATATATATATATATATATATATATAAATATAAATAAAAAAGTGAGCGCTCTCCAATCAGCAGCCAATGCACCCAAGGTAATCTCAGCAAAACCTTCAAAAATACACATAATCAAAAAAGTGCTGGCATAAAAAGTGCTGGCGCTAGTAAATATATACATCTCAGATGATCTGAAAAACACACTGTGGTATATTGCACAAACAGAGGTATTGGCTAATACATCAGGTGATATTGATATTAATGTCCAGACAAGTTGTCGCAGGATCCTGCGTTTAGAAGCTTAATATACCAGGATCAAATAGTAAAATTGCGCACTCAACTGATTGACGAACACGCAATAGATAAGCGCATATGATATATGACCCCTGGAAATCTCTCATCTAGTGGGGAAGATAGATATCCATCTGGGAGCAGATGATCCTGATGTAGTAGGCAGCTTCCAGGTCCAGGAATCCCCTTAGAGCTGGGTAAACTTTTGGGTATGGAACTCCCTCCGGTGGCAATGATGGGTAATAGGATATCCTGGAATTTATTAGCTCCAATAGGAGCCAAAAAAAATGCCTCATAGTGTAGTAGGTAAAATCAAGGAATTTATTTCAAAAAATATATTGCAGATGAAACAGGGTAGAAACACTCAAACAGTAAATGATATGTAAAGTGTGACTGATCCAAAAGTAAGATGGCCGCCGGGGCACAGTGTTGGCCTCCCCTCTGATGATGTGCATTGGCACGAAAGGCCTTAGGAGGAGCCAACAGAGCGTGACGTCTTAGCCGCCTGGAGTCACGAGGAGGCCCGGCGGCCATCTTTATATATATATATATATATATATATATATATATATATATATATATATATTTGTTTTTGGTGGTTCTAAGTAGTTTTTCTAGCATAGGCAAAAAAAAAAAAAAGCTGATTTTTACACGTAGGAGATGAATGTCAGAATTGCCTCGGACTGGAGTTGGTTAGTAAAATGTATGACTTTCTTTTATATTGGAACCTTTGGTGATGTGGTCTATTAACAATATTGAACTCATAAGGGTTTAATCGTAACTTTGTAGATCTAATCCAGTTATGTAAGTGGTAGGGTGTTCTTTTTGGTGGTTTATGACAGTCCTAAAACATATTGTCTTAAAAAAGAGAATAGAAGATAGGGGGTAACAATGTGCTGTTTGGTAGTACAAGTGATAAGATAAACATGGAGGCTAACACTGCTGACCCTTCCTCAGGAAAATGATGGCTATAATTCTGACTCTCTTGCTTTGATATATAGAGTCACAGGATAATCATGTTGATAATGCGCTGAGCAAATTTTTTGTCGCTATATAAATACTGTATAATAATAATAATAAGGACTTCTAATTATTCTCTGACTTTCCTGCTCTGCATACTTTTTCACTTTATTGATCTGGAAATTGTAGAACTGGAGGGTTGGCATATCTGTCAGGCAACTGGCATTTTTGAAAGAAGGCCTGCAATGGAAGTCCCTGTATTTCTTCCATGGCAAACTTATAGTACCGATTTTTATTTAAATGGATTTGTAATTAGGATGAGTTGAACTGTGTTGCGTATATGACATCTGTTGTCAAAAAGGAAAATTATATCAGAACCCCCATATAATTGTATGTCTTTGGTTTTCTTTTTAGGATATCTTGCAGTGTCACTGTTCCTTCATGAGAACCACGAGTTGCTGCTCTTGTTAGTAAATACAGTCCTAAAGGTAACATCCAACATGGAGATTTGTCAGTTTTGTGCAGCTCTCTTAGGAATACACCGCACAGAACCTTGTACACAGAGTTTTTTGTATAGTGTTTGCTGGGATGTGCTGTAGCCCCCTCCAATTCACTGACATTTCCTTCATATGTATTAAAGTCTGTCTGCCATGAAGGTAAATCCAGAGATCAAACACACAGAATCTCTCATCCACATGTAGATAGGGGTATTATGTGGTAGCCATAACTATAAGATGGATACAGGTGTTTTAGACCCAGTTATTTCCATAACAGGTGACCTTGGCCTGTTCATTTTGGGTAAAAAAATTGTTAGCATATTCTTAAAAATTTCAGATGAGATTATTTTTGTAAGATTAACTTTGTGAAAACTGTAAACAATGTGTAAACCACATGCGCCAACGAAGGAGTGGGATATTACATGCTATGTGATAGTTGCCTGATGTGTCAGAGTGATGTGAACTTCTGTGAAAGATCATTATATTTAGCCTTGAATATACTGCATGCGGTCAATGCAAATGCTCAGAATCAAAAATGTATTATACGCTGGTATATACTGTACCTGCTTCCTTCTGATGTGTATCAAAGCATCTCAGAGAGCTCCACATCATTAATGCTCACTAAACATTAACTTTCTATAAATGCTTTTAACCACTTCCCGACTGGCCGTTGTATATAAACGGCCGGACGGTGGCACTGCAGGCTTGGGTGACCGTTTATAAACGGCCTCCCCGCACACTGCTTGTGCGTGCTCCCTGGGAGAGCGCAGCACCACGATCCGGTGCCTGCTGTGTCCTCCGGACACAGTGAAACACCGATCGTCGGACGGGACCTCTGTACGAGGTCCCGATCATGTGATCACTGATTGGCCAATCAGTGATCACATGCAAAGTAGTAAGCAAGATGTCACTTCTGACATCATTGCTTACTACGTGTAAAATCTGTGAATGATCACAGAGGTCACATGGTACAAGGCTATTCACAAGAGCCTTGTACCATGTGACAAGCTGTGACCAATCACAGCTCACTCAGTAGTTCTCAATGGCTGCAAGAATGCAGCCAGAGAAGAGGAGAGATGAGCTTTTACAGCCTTTATGGGTATAAAAGCAATCGGTGTAAGAAAAAAATAAATAAAAATCTTCATCACCCCCCACATGTAGTACAGTGTCACTATGGTGCAGCCAGAGAGAAGGAGAAATTATTGCTTTTACATCCTATATGGGTGTAAAAGCAATCAGTGTAAGAAAAAAAAAAAATCTTCATCACCCCCCAAAAGTAGTGCAGTGTCACCATGGTGACACTGTACTGCTAGGGTGACAGTATGTAAAAAAAAAAATAAAATAAAATAATCTAAAAAAAAATTTTAAAAGAAAAATGTTTAAAAATTATAATTTTTGGTTATAAACTAATTTGGCTTATTTTTTTTTTTTTTTTTTTTACTAAAAAGATAACAGATTAAATTTTGGCCAAGATTTATGATGAAATTTTATTTATTTGCTAAATTCTATAAGAAAAACACTTTTTTCAAAATTTTTGGACATTTTCATTTACATAGCAACAAAAATAGCGGTGAATAAATACGACCAAAATAAAGTTTTATCTGTCTCAAAAAAATGGTAAAAAATTCATATGGGTACAGTGTTGCATGACTGCGCAATTGTCATTCAAAGTGTGATAGCACTGAAAGCTGAAAATGGCCCTGGTCAGGAAGGGGTAAAAGTGTCCGCACTGGAAGTGATTAACAGCCAAAATATACCCTCCCTGAAACAATTGGAAAGTTCTGGGTTTTTTTGTTTTAATATTTTTGTTTTGTTTTGTTTTGTTTAGCATGTGAGCCTCTTGACACTCCCAAACGTTTTCTCTATTGAAAAAGGGAGGTGTGGTAGGTGCTGATTTTGGAGAATGGTTGAATGAATAGAACTTGAAGAATAATGTCTATGAATATCTATCCTCAGTGACTGTTCTTCTGTTATAGTTTCCTTTCTATGTGTTCTCTTAGGACTTGCAGAGCACCAATCTGGTGGAGGTGTGTATGGCTTTGACTGTGGTGAGTCAGATATTTCCTCGAGAGATGATTCCAGCTGCTTTGCCACTCATAGAGGACAAGCTGCAACATTCTAAGTAAGCCAAACATGATTTGTAGAACATTGGTGCTAGGATGTAATGTGTATTTGTAAAGCGTTCATCACCTTTATGTGTTGCAATATAAACATTTTGGATGTGAGAGATATAACTTTGATCATTGTTAACCTGAGATTGTTCTACAGTTTCTTAGAACTGAAAGTATGCTTTTTAAACTCCTCTCCCATGTTTGATAGGGCCTAGGGTAAGCCATAAGTCATAAAATCAGTAATTCAATGTATATTTGATAAAAGCAAGAATTACAACAACGTTTGCCAAAATGTTAACTTGTTCTAGTGCAGCCATTTTCCACCAAAGTTCTTTGGAATCCTAGGTTTAACCCAAAGGTCGCAAGGTGTTCCTTGATCAATGAGCAGCTTCTGCCTCTCAGATGAGTAACGATTGACAACAATGATCTTTTTTTAGTTATCTGTAAATAGGAGATTCTTTCCAATGACTACAAATGTAATGAGCATTATTACCAGTGACAACCATGCTGTTGTGCTGTGAGTTGTAGATATAGTACGTATTAGCAAGGGTTCCGCCCAGATAGTCCAAGGATTCCCCCTGTGTTAAAAAAAAGTTGATAGACTGTAGTGTGTTGAGGCAAACATGGTGTGATATTGAAAATACCCAGTGTCTTTGTTTGGGGGGTAAAAAGATACTGACATTGATTTACTATAACTGGAGAGTGCAAAATCTGGTGCAGCTGTGCATGGTAGCCAATCAGTTTCTAACTTCAGCGTGTTCAATTAAGCTTTGACAATAAAACCTGGAGGCTCAAAGAATTGCATGTAATTTGAACAGGAATGCGGTGCGATTCCCGAATTGAATCTCATGTGGTTTCCCTGTGGGTGCAGTGCAATTCGAGCCTTACAAAATGAATGGCTCAAATTGCACTGAAAATCACACTGCAGCCTTAGGGAAACCGCATGCGATTTGGACACGAATCGCACCGCATTTGATTTGGACAGGAATCGCACTTCATTCCTGTTCAAATCACATGTGATTCGAGCCCATTCATTTTGTATGGGCTCAAATCGCACCACACAAAAATGTATTGGTTTTAGGAATCTGAGAATTTGCACGAGTACAAGTTGCTTAGTAACAACACCGATATCGTTATCGGTGCAACCTTCGTTTCTGTGCAGAGCTGCACCAGATTTTACACTCTCCAGTTTTAGTATATCAACCCCACTATGTGTGACCGTTCCACTTTCTCAGTGCAAGTCTACCGGTCTGTGCATACTGACGGGTAACGGTACAATCTGCGTGTGATCTATGCTCAACCTCTCAACAGGACTTAAGCTGGGTACACACTATAAAAAAAATCGGAAGAGAATTACAAGGATGGATTGGTCGATTATCTGATCGTTCGTATAATCCTTTTAACAGCAGATTCCGACTGTTCAAATGAAAAAAAAAACGCAAAGGTGCAAGCTAGAAAATGTTATTGTACATGAACACATCTGCTTCTTGCTCAATTTGTATAGTAATTATAGAGAAATAACTGAGTAGAAAAATATGCACATTTTTGCGTCTGCAAAGAACAACGCATAAGAAGGTGGCAACAAACATAAAACTCCTACCCAAGAAAGAACGTTTGCCTTTTTCATTCAAGGATTTTCGTGTATGTTAATACCATCGTTGTGTTCATCATGATACTCGTGGAAAATCGGATGATTTTTTTCTCATGGTGTGTACCCCACTTTAGCTGAACAGTGTGGCATACTGACTTTAGAGGGAGAACCTGTATATTTGTCTATGAAGCAACTTCCTGAATATATAGAAACTGCAAACAAATGAAATGTGTGGAAGTAACATTACAATCATGGAACCTTTACAAAAACTGTTTGATCCAGTGGACTAATAAAGAAAAAGAATTCACAAACCCTGAGTAATAGAGTAGTCAGATTTTACACTGCAAATAGATTTTTACTAATTTGTTATGGTCACTGCATTTTGCAGTTTGTGCTCTGCCATTTGTGTAACATTTAGTTCTGGCTTCAAATGGATTGACGCTCCATGTAAGACCTTTTTTTTTTTTTTTTTTTACATTTAATTTTAGAGTCCCCATTTCTGTGCTTGTCCTAAAATCCTACACCAGCTACTTGCGTTTCCAGTATCACGACTGCTCTGCCTGTAATGCCGGTGTGGAATGAATTGAATTTAATCCGGTTCAGCAGTAAGCGGATGAATTTCAACCCATCTATGGGCAAGCTGATTGTATTGAAGTCGATTTACCAATCAACTTCAGTACAACCAGCCTGTTAGATTTTCTTCATGTTTTCACTACTGGCAGCTATAGTGGTGATCATTGTGTTTTGATGGCAGAGAAGGCTTCCTGCTGACACAACACAATAGTACTGGGGGAGGGATACTAACTTTGTTGATTTTGGGGGGGGATCATGCAACTTTCTTTCCTTCCACCCATGGTGCAAGGAAGGAAAATTGCATAATCTATGAGCTACCTAATACAGTATATGTATGTGACATCAAAACACCCAGTCTCTATGTGGCTCCTGGGGACAGGAAAGGATGCATAAAAGTGAATGGCATCTGGTGAACTCACAGTTAACATGGTTTTAAGTTTAACTAAACATTAACCATTTGCCGCCCGGCCAATGGCCGTTTGGCGGCTTGAAAGTTGCTTCTCCACTCCGGGGGCACGCCATTTGGCGTGCTCCCGCACATGTGCCGTTTGCGCTAATGCAGAGCGGCGCAGCGGCTCGATCTGTCACCGGGCGTGTACCTCGGACACGGCTGATGACAGATCCGAGTACTGGCTCCGTTGCAGGTACCATGTGACCTGCTGTGACCAATCACAGCAGGTCACATGACAGTTGTATACAATGGATGGCTTCATTCATGATGCCATCCATTGTATACTAGTGCCTAGCTGTGAATGGTCACAGCTAATCACATGCACATGTCATGTGATTAGCTGTGACCAAATCACAGCTAAGCACAAAAAAAAAAAAAAGCTGAATGAATCCATTTCATTCAGGTAAATGCTTGCTTATAGCAAAGTATTTCTTTGCTATAAGCAAATTGTGTAAAAAAAAAAAAAAAAAAAAAAATACTGATCACTTCCCCAAAGTAGTACAATGTTACTATGGTAACATTGTACTACTTTTGTCATAGTAAAATATGAAAAAAAAATGTTAAAAAAAAAAAAAAAAAAGTAATAAAAAATTAAAAATAATAAAAAAAAAAAAAAAATAAATTATATATATATTTTTTTTTCATACTGTCACCAGTCAGTGTCCCTGTTCACCGCCATGCCAGTTATATGATGACGCTGTACTGCACTGGTGACAGTATGTAAAAAAAAAAATAGTGAAAATAATTTTTTTAATTTTTTCATTTTCTGAAAAATTATGACAAAAAAAATATAACTTCAAAAAACTTGCCATGCCTCTTATGAAGTACGTCGGACTGTCTACTCTGCAAAAAGGGGTCATTTGGGGGATATCTGTACTATTCTGGACATTGTTAGACCTCAAGAAATTAGATTGGCCGTCAGTACTTCAGGATTGATCAATAATCAGATCTATACCATAGTTTGTGAACTCTATAACTTTCCTACAAACTAAATAATACATCCTAATTTGGGTTATTTTCACCAAAGACATGTAGCAGAATACATCTCGGCCTAAATTTATGAAGAACAATTATTTATTTGTAAATTTTTATAACGGAAACAAAGAAAAACGTGTATTTTTTTTTCAACATTTTTGGCCTTTTTTTGTTAATTTAGCAAAAAATAAAAACCCCAGCGGTGATTAAATACCACCAAAAGAAAGCTCTAGTTGTGTGAAGAAAATGATAAAATTTTAGTTTGGGTACAGTGTTGTATGACTGCGCAATTGTCATTCAAAGTGTGAGAGCGCTGAAACGTGAAAACTGGCCTGGGCAGGAAGGTGTAAAATTGCCCGGTATTGAAATGGTTAAATATAGTATAGGTGCACTTCATCAGATCAGATGGTCAAAAGTCACCACTTGACAAAGCAGCCAATTTAAAGCCTACTATATTTTTTACTTGTCAACATGCCTATTGTGCAAATCTGTCATTACGTTTATTGAAGATTTCAAGTTTAATTCTAGATTCAGAAGTTGGTGATAAATGGCTAAATTAAACTATTCTGCAAAGCTGTAATGTGAGATAGAGGTGTGAATTGCATCAAATAATATTTAGCTTTAAATGTATAATTTATTTTGCTTACAGAACAGCTATTGTTCGTTTGTCCTATTATTGGATGACTTGATCAAGCTGCTTGCTATTTTCTCTTTCCGTGTTGTATTCTGTAGTTCCATTATTGGAACAATTTCTTTGTATGAATGAAAGTTCTACAAAGTAGATAATAGACTATAATGTAACATTGCCCCATGTGACTTTCGAGTGTTCCCTTTGACTGAACCTGCCTCAACGGGGCTAACCACCCCCCCCCCCCCCCCCCCCTTCCTTGCTTATACTCCAATACCTTGGGATAGATATATGGATAGGTTCGCTTTATCATTTTTTGTGGAGCCTGTGACACCCCCCCCCCCCTTTTTTAGGGACCTTTAAGGTTTCCACTGGCTCTATCCCACACAACATTTTTGACCTAGTGTAAGTCCGAGTTCTGCCAGTTGATTCAGGTCTTGCAGGAGGTGACGATACCTTCCCTTTCTTCACTTTTTCCTAGTGAATCTGTATCTATTGCTCACTGGTTGGAATACAGTTGCTTTCATTTTTTTTGATGCCACTAGGAGATCTGCACCTGACCTTTCAGGTACCTTTCTGTATCCCTTTTTAGTGCTTTTATAACATTCTTGTGTTCAATGGAGAAGCTGCTGAAATGCATGGTAGTGTATTTTTGCCGCGTTTGCGTTTTTTGTATTTTTATTCTGCCCAGCAAAAAAAAAAAGGCGTCAAAATTGCGTGTAGAAAACCGCAAAGCTAACTGCAAAAAGCACTGGAGAAAGGATCAAATGCAAAATGCATATATGTTAGCCAAGCCTTAGCGCCTGGTCATACCGGGTGCGACTTACCATGTGATTTGCCATGCGATGAGAGTTTCAAATTGCATGGCAAGTTGCACCCTATTGTCCATAATTAAAGCAGTCATATTTGTACGATTTCGACTTGGTTGGAGTCGCACAGATTTTGAAAGTAGTGCATGAACTACTTCAGGTACGACTTGCATAGACATCTGTGGCCAGAGAGATGTGCCATTTTGAACCATTTCCATTCTTCTCCAATACTGTTCTCTACTGTGTTTATACTGGCAGTGATGCAAAATGCCATAATCATCTAGGAGGCTGCAGTAATATTACAGTAATTGAAGACAAGCTAGTCACATGGGGGAAACAAATCCTGTGTCTGCTGGATTGAGCTGCTGCATTCTGAGTTTTATGTGCTCAAATCCACTGCAGAAAATTGTTACATTAGTTATGTAACATTCTTTATATCCCCATAGACCCATATGTGTATTTTAATTTTGCATTTGTTTATATGCGTTGACCTCTGTAGCTACTTACAGTTTAGTGCCAAACCTGATTAGAAAATTTCCACTAGTGACTGATGGAGAAGCTTAGATCCATTTGTTGAAGGTACAGCAGCCTATATGTTGTTGTACTTATTTATTTATTTCAGGTACTTTATATAGCGCCGTCAATTTACGCAGCGCTTTACACATATATATTGTACATTCACATCAGTCCCTAACCCTCAAGGGGCTTACAATCTAAGGTCCCTAACTCACATTCATACATACACATACTTGGGCCAATTTAGACAGGAGCCAATTAACCTACCAGCATGTCTTTTGGAGTGTGGGGGGAAAACCGCAGGACCCGGAGGAAACCCACGCAGGCACAGGGGGAGAACATGCAAACTCCAGGCAGGTGGTGCTGTGGCTGGGATTCGAACCAACAAACCCTAGTACTGCCAGGCAGAAGTACTAACCATTTAGCCACTGTGCTGCCCTTACTTAAATATACCTTGCAAAGAACTGAATATTGTTGCTGTTAGAGTATTGTTAAATTTGTAATTTGGCAGCTGTTACATGTATATTTATCAGTTTTGGAACCTGTATTCTTTGACACCTTATTTTCTAGGGAAATCGTGAGAAGGAAAGCAGTGTTGGCATTGTATAAATTTTATATGATTGCGCCCACACAAGTACAGCACATACAGGAGAAGTTTCGGAAAGCTCTGTGTGATCGGGATGTGGGAGTCATGGCTGCCTCTTTACATATATATCTGCAGGCCATCAAGGTAAAAACATTTTTTTTCTCATAACTGGAATACTATTACCAGTGGTCACTTTGAATTTGAATGCACATCTCATTTATAAACTCTTGCATGTTTATTTCTGTTACACAGGACAACCCATCTGGATACAAAGACCTGACAGGCTCATTTGTCACAATTTTGAAACAGGTGGTTGGAGGAAAGCTACCTGTAGATTTTAATTACCATAGTGTCCCAGCACCCTGGCTTCAAATTCAACTCTTACGGATATTGAGACTATTAGGAAAGGATGATCCCAGGTAAAAATTATTTATCTGTTGTGAAATAGACCAGTAATTTGCTAGAATTATTGTGATATGACTGTGGGCTCAGCTGACTACATTATCAACTTAACTAGTTGCCGACCGCAGATAGCCGAATGACGGCTTCACTGCGGCCGGCCAGTTCTGGGTGGACGGCATATGACGTCCCCCAGAACGCGCTCTCCTGCGCCCCCCAGGGGCGCGCACACCCGGCGATCTCCGTGATCACTGTGTCCTACGGACACAGCTGATCATGAGATGTGGTAAAAGGCCGATCATACCGGCCTTTTACCACGTGATCAGCGGTGTCCAATTACACGCTGATCACAGGGAAATGCAAGTGCCGGTTGTCGGCTGCACTTTCCTCACGCTGTCAGAGCGAGGATCGGCACCGATCATCAGGGCCACTGATGATCAGTGCCCTGATGATCTGTGCCCAGCAGTGCCACCCACAAGTTCCGCCCACCTGTGCCCAGCAGTGCGCCCACTAGCTCCGCCCACCTGTGCCCAGCAGTGTCACACCTGTGCCACTCTGCAGTGCACCTACCTGTGCCACTCTGCAGTGTCCCTACCTGTGCCACTCTGCAGTGCCCACCTGTGCCCAGCAGTGCCACCCACCTGTGCCCACCAGTGCCACCCACCTGTGCCCACCAGTGCCACCCACCTGTGCCCACCCACCAGTGCCACCCACCAGTGCAGCCCAGCAGTGCTGCCAGTCAGTGCCCAGCGGTTGTGCCAGTCAGTGCTGCCAGTCAGTGCCCAGCAGTGATGCCAGTCAGTGCCATCTATCAGTACCCATCATCAGTGTCACCTATCAGTGCCGCCTATCAGTGCTGCATATTAGTGCCGCCTATCCGTGACACCTCATTAGTGCTGTCTATCAGTGCCGCCTATCCGTGCCACCTCATTAGTACTGCCTATCAGTGCCCTTTAGTGCTGCCTATCAGTGCCCATCAGTGCCCTATCAGTGCCGCCTATCAGTGCTGCCTCATCAACGCACATCAGTGAAGGAGAAAAAATACCTGTTTGAAAAATTTTATAATAGAAACAAAGAAACTTTTTTTTTTTTTTTTTTCAAATTTTTTTGCACTTTTTTAATTTATAGCGCAAAAAGTAAAGCGCCCAGTGGCGATTAAATACCACCAAAAGAAAGCTCTATTTGTGAGAAAAAAATGATCAAAATTTCATATGGGTACAATGTTGCATGACCGCGCAATTGTCAATCAAAGTGCGGCAGCGCTGAAAGCTGAAAATTGGCCTGGTAAGGAAGGGGGTATAAGTGCCTAGTAGGGCAAGTGGTTAAGGAGGACCTGTACAGTGGAAGCTCTGCCCAGAAAGAACAAAGAGAGGAGGAAAAAGGACTAGTCATCCGTATTGCCCGTGGTCTTCCTGCAGCTGATCCTTTTCCCATTAATCACTATTCATGCCTTGTTCCACACTGTGTCTCTTTGTGGAGGTCACCATCTTGTTGGTGGTGCTGGACTTTGCTTCATTACGTCAGAGCTGCCCCCTGATGGCTGGTGATCTGATCACTGGTGTAAGAATATTACAGCAGCAACAGCAGGAAAGGTGCAGAAATCTCAGCTTCAAACATTAAATGAAGCAGAAGATCACTGCAGGTCCTCATATACAGCTTTTTTTATAGCAAGAAGCACCAGCACAGTAAGAGCATCCCAAAATCTCACTCCATATCTCGTGAGACCAGCCATCAGATGTTCCATTGCCTTAGACACTCTTACACTGCAGACATCCAGCTATGCGGTTACTTAACAAGAGGGCCTTGGCACAATCTCATCAATATGTGCCTTTTTTTCAGGAGGAATCCAAGACAATTTTTTTGGGCAATTAACATTTCTATATCTTCTCTTTTAAGATGCCCATTTCTGTAGTTTGGGTCCACTTTAAAGCTGAATTCCATGGTGTCTTTCTTTTTGCATAGTTACAATATTCCATCTTTGACCAATGTAAGTACAAATCTGCCACACTCTCTACCTCAGTGATCACCTTTGTCCTTGGGGGTTCTGTGTCAAGCAGCTGCTGTGCTGCATGGTAAGCATGGGGTTGCTCACTTGGCTTAGGTGCCATTCATAGAACACCTTGCATTTTTTTTTTAGGTGAATTCAAAGCATTCTCTGATTGGAAAAAGTGGAGATTGTGATGTCCCAGCCCCACTTTTCCACCTTGCCCAGTCAGAGAATGCCTTGCATTCATTGAGAAAAATGCAAGGTGTTCTGTGATTGGCACCCATGCTGAGCAGGATCCGGAAGAAAGTGATCACTGTAGAAGTAGTGACTGCTACAGTGATTTTCTGCTTCCACAGGGATCCTTTTAGGTATGATTTATGCATACTTCATTGGTCCAGGCTGGACCAATGTACCTATGCAAAACAGCAATTTCTGGAATTCAGTTTTAAAATATTTTTTTGGATCGTGTAGGGAAGGGTTTAGAACCGCTACCACCTTTTGTGTTGCTATCTGTGTTGGCAATAGGTAGAATCACTCTTTCTCCTGGTGACCATTGTTGACAAATCAGAAAGTAATGTGGAATCCAAAATTTTACAGTTGTCACCAGAACAGGGACAAAGTGTGAATCTTTCAATAGGGACACCTCTTCCAGGGATGACTGTCTAAAATGCATTGCTTTGTAAAGATTTCCCTTTATCCAAAATTGTTAGAAAGATTGGCATACAAAAAGGGTACTTTTGAGTCAGGGGGTGGCTCAAAGATTTAATGTGATCATATTTGAACAATTGAGAAATTTTGAGAACTTCCATGATTTGATTGAAGTCACGACTTGAATTCCATCCAAAAATTGGGTGAACTTGCTTTATTTAAAGTGGTACTCTAGCAAAAAGATCTTTTTCAATCGGGAATGATAGTAGGGTAGTATAAGGTTTCATTCACACTGGCACTGTCAAACTTGCAGTTCTGTGTGTTTAGAGGACATTTGTAAACACATATATAAATGCATGTATTAATTTTATATGGTGCTATTCACGCCGTGCATTTACCAGTGTTTAGGTGCAGTAAGTTTTTAGCTGCGTTTTTAGAAAAAATTTAATTTGTGCATTCAGGATCTGATTAGACTCAGTCTAAGGCCTGGTTCACGCCAATGCAGTTTGCGTTTTTGTCTGTTTTGCAGTGCTTTTTGCAGTACGTTTTGCGTATATATATATATTTTTTTTTTTTTGCCTGCGCGTTTTGTACCGTGTTTTGCGTGTTTTTTTTTTTCTTTTTTTTTCTTTTTTTTTGTCAAAGGGGAAATGTTTTTGTTGCTGGGCAGAATAAAAAAGCAAAACTCAGCAAAACACTCTGTGTTTTTGGCAGGATCTCTATTGAGCTCTATTATTACAAAAACACTTCTTTTTGTGTTTAAAAATGTCCTTGACCCTTTCCAAAAATGCAGCAGCTCAATTAAGCATAGATGTGATTGTGTCCCATAGGAAGCCATGTTAAATGGATTGTAGTGCGTTTCTGCAAAAAGCACTAAAAAATGCATGAACCACGTGTGAACCAGGCCAAAACATGTGTAAAGCAAGTTTAGCCATGTTTAGTCACAATTTAATCAGGAACATCAAAATGCAGGAAATAGTGATGCTGTTTATACTTCCCAGATGACTTCCGCATTTATAAATGCTAAACGCAGGAGTGCCAGTGAAAATGTTCTTTTGGTGGTGTCTGAAAAGGCTAGTTATTTTGTGTCGGTGTCTCCACTGGGGAGATTTCTCTCACGTCATACAGTATGTCAAAAAGTGACTGCAGAGCTCAATCTGAGTCTTCATGGGACTGAGATTGAGCTCTGCAGTCACTTTGCTGCAGTTGTTTTCTTATTCTGAGTCACAATCCTGCACAATGTCCTTTTTGTCTCTTTCGGTCAGTTGACTGCGCTTATTCCTATCAGACGTTTTCTTGGAAATTGTATATGCTTGATGCTGTACCTTGTGACACAGCAAATAAATTGGCAACTTCAGTTGCTAAGGCACCAGCTAAGCGGGCAACAACAATTTGCCCTCTGATGCTCAGTAAGCTCTGACATGATTCCACATTACTAGCAGTGAATGATGAAAGTGAGGCTTCCTACCTGTTAGCTTGATGTCTCATCACACAGTGGATGCAAAAGAATGTTACATCATTTCCACTTTCAATGCAAATCATGTAGTGTTTCCAGTTTTTTGGCCATCCCCTGTATAGAGATGATATCTCTCTATCTATATACACTATATTGTCAAAACTATTGGGACGCCTGCCTTTACAAGCACATGAATTTTAATGGCATCCCAGTCTTAGACCGTAGGGTTCAATATTGAGCTGGCCTATCCTGCAGCTGTAACAGCTTCAACTCTTCTGGGAAGGCTGTCCATCATAACCACCTCTCTGATGTTTTTCTTTTATGTACTTGTTTTTTATACTTCCTATGCTCTGCTAAATTTACGTAAAATAATAAAGACAAATTTACCTTTAAAAAAATCGAATGGTAGGTGTATTGTAACACTGAGAGACAGAGTAGCAACAAAAAAATTCAAAAGAAATGCATGTCTAACAAATTATGCACTGATTTGCATATTTATGAGGGAAATAAGTATTTGATCATCCCCTATCATTCAGCAGGATTTCTGGCTACCAGGTGTCTTTCATACAGGTAACAAGCTGAGATTAGAAGCAGTCTCTTAAAGAGAGTGCTGCTAATCTCATTTTGTTAACTGTATAAAAGACACCTGTCCACAGGAGCAATCAAACAATCAGTTTCCAAACTCTCCACCATGGCAAAGACCAAAGAGCTGTCCAAGGATGTCAGGGACAAGATTGTAGACCTACACAAGGCTGGACTGGGTTACCAAACTATCGCCAAGCAGCTTGGTGAGAAGGTGACAACAGTTGGTGCAATCATTCGCAAATGGAATAGACACAAAACAACTGTCAGTCTCCCTAGGTCTGGTGCACCATGCAAGATCTTACGTCGTGGAGTGTCAATGATCATGAGAACAGTGCGGAATCATCCCAGAACTACACGTGAGAATCTTGTCAATGATCTCCAGGCAGCTGGGACCACAGTCACCAAGAAAACAACTGGTAACACACTACACCGGCAAGGATTGAAATCCTGCAGTGCCCGCAAGGTCCCTCTGCTCAAGAAAGCACATGTCCAGGCCCGTCTGAGGTTTGCCACTGAACATCTGAATGATGCAGAGGAGGACTGGTTGAAGTGTTGTGGTCAGATGAGACCAAAATCGAGCTGTTTGGCATCAACTAAAGTCGCCGTGTTTGGAGGAGGAGGAATGCTGCCTATGACCCCAAGAACACCATCCCAACTGTCAAACGTGGTGGAAACATTCTGCTTTGGGTGTGTTTTTCTTCTAAGGGGACAGGACAACTGCAGTGCATCAAAGGGATGATGGACGGGCAATGTACCATCAAATTTTGGATGAGAACCTTCTTCTCTCAGCCATGGCATTGAAAATGGGTCATGGATGGATGTTCCAGAATGACAATGACCCAAAACACACGGCCAAGGCAACAAAGGAGTGGCTTAAGAAGAACCACATTAAATGTCAGCCACCAAACCTTAATTACTTGGAGAGGATCTGCCAAGAGAAGTGGGCCAAAATCCCTCCTGAGATGTGTGCAAACCTGGTGGCCAACTACAGGAAACGTCTGACCTCTGTGATTGCCAACAAGGGATATGCCACCAAGTACTAAGTAATGTTTTGTGAAGGGGATCAAATACTTATTTCCCTCATGAACATGCAAATCAGTGCATAATTTGTTAGACATGCATTTCTTTTGAATTTTTTTGTTGCTACTCTGTCTCTGTGTTACAATACACCTACCATTCGATTTTTTTTAAAGGTAAATTTGTCTTTATTATTTTACGTAAATTTAGCAGAGCATAGGAAGTATAAAAAACAAGTACATAAAAGAAAAACATCAGAGAGGTGGTTATGACAAGATGGTAAACCGTGACTGAGGAGAAAGAGAGAGAGAAAAAAAAAAGGGGGGGGGAGGAAACAGAAAAAAGAAAAGGGGTCAGTGGAAAGGGTAGCAATGTGATAGCTGCCCACTTGTGTCTCATGGAAGCAACCCTGCCGCACACAGCACGACATGCACCACAGGGTCCAACCAGCGGAGAAGCCAAAATGAGATTGAGTCGGGGGACAAGGCATAACTCCACTAGAGAGCAGCAGGGGCACACATATCACTGAGAGTCGTAGAGGAGGAGAAATGAAGCCAGACCGACCACAACAGCTTATGTTTATCATAGGTATCATTTAGTAAACGCTAGCATTTCCTCCATACACATGGTATCATTAAGCACGGAGACCCAGATCGGGAGAAAGGGGGGGCAGCTGATTTCCAAAAGAGGGGTATTAATTTGCGGGCCGCAGACAGGAAGAAACGCAACAGACTTTTCTTCTGTGATGCCTGTGAGCCCGGTAATATAGAAAGAAGAGCAATTTCCGGCGAAGGGGCCAAGGACTTCCCGTAGATCTCGTTATATACAGCAAAGACCTGCCGCCAAAAGGGTTGTATTCGATCACAATCCCACCAGATGTGAAGTTCTGTACCAACAGCTCTATCACAGCGCCAACAAAGATCAGGTGTAGAAGGAAAAATTGTGTAGGGAGAGGGGATCCCTATACCATCAGGAAAGAAGCTTAACATTATTTTCTTGTGAGTAGCAAGAAATAGACGATTTATGAGTAAAGTGGAACGACGTGGACCATTTCTCTCCGACACCTCTCTACCCAGGTCTGGAGCCCAAGCCTTAGTGTAGGACCATTCGATTTTTAGACTGGTCATTTCTTTGTGAGTGTGCAAACATTCAAAATCAGCAGGGGATCAAATACTTATTTCCTTCACTGTGTGTATATATATATATAATATAGCTCTCAAATACTGCATGTTTTGTAGGTATTACTTGCTCACAGTAGAAATTTTTTTTTACTTGAAGCCAATGCCTTGGTTTCATTCCGATAATTATACTTTTGAATGTTTAATAGTGTAATTTTGATATTTGCTACATTTTTAGCACCAGCGAGTTAATATATGATGTGTTGGACGAGTCCTTGCGGCGAGCGGAAATAAATCATAATATCACGTATGGTAAGTTATTACTTCCTTCCCCCCAAATGAAACTTTTACAATAATAAAGAACAATAAACTAAAGTATCTTTGTCTTCCTTTTTTTTCTAGCTATTCTATTTGAATGTGTCCAGACTATTTATACTATTTATCCAAAATCTGATTTATTTGAAAAAGCTGCAAAATGCATTGGAAAATTTGTTTTGTCTCCAAAAATTAATCTAAAGTATTTGGGTAAGTAGAGAATATGTTGCTTGTGTATATATACTGGAAGAGAGAAAAATGCCCCCCACCCCCTGCTTATGTGACTGTGGCACCATACTTAGCATTTTGTATGTAATCTTATGTTAAATCCACCAGAGAGGTGCATAGTACACACACATACACAAAGGAAAAAAAATTTTATGAAATTGTCTGTATGACGCACACATTTCTTCAGGAATGTTTGTGAGTAGTATACTTGACCAGAGGTCACTGATACCTAGATACCCAGGCCACATATAACAGCATCAACATGCATACACACACACACACGCACGCTCGCACACACACACACACGTAAAATTAATATTCTAGGGGAGCCTGAAAGGAAAAAAAACATTAATAAACCACACTATTGCTGGTCAGTGTTCCTGATAGAGGGCCCCTCACCTCAAACGGTCAATGCAATGCCTATATGTCCATATCTGACTGCTGCCTTATTACGTTGCAAATGTTAGATTACTTAGAAGCACATCAGTAGTGAGAGCGATATACAAGGGTTGCATTTGCACATCTGCTTTTGGAATTGCCAGTTGGATGGCTGTGTTCGGATTCAATATTTCTGCGTCGCTAAGTTTGAAAAAACAAGCAGCAAATATAAATTCAGGAGAATTGGCCCTAAGTTAAGAACAGCTGTAAAGTGCAAGCATTGCACAGCCCTGTGATGTGGGTGGGCTTTATATGTATATGCTAAATAAGGCTGTTTCTATGAATATGTATAGGCCAAAGCTGAAAACACCTTTTGCAAATGTGTACATTACGTGGGTCACATTCATACATACTGTATGTTTACTAATGCAAAAATGTTGTAGCTTTCACTTGCTGCTCTGAAAATAATATCTGTGTTTTTTGTTTCAGGGCTGAAAGCTCTTACATATGTTATTCAGCAAGATCCTAACCTGGCACTTCAACACCAAATGACCATAATTGAGTGCTTAGACCATCCTGATCCCATCATTAAAAGAGAGGTCAGATTTTGTTAAGCTTTAGCATGAAGAATTGGGAACTAAAATTACTAAATACTTTCAAATATTGTTCAAAAAAATTCTACAAAAGAAGAGAATCCTCCAATACCAACCAAACGGATTCTTTATTTTATTTTCCTAGAAACAAAGAAAGCAATCTAATTGGTCATCATGGGTGAATTCTCCATTGAGAAGTTTTTGCAGGATCACTTCAGAGATTAAACTAAGAAATAAAAAGATTAAAGTGTAATTCCAGTCAAAACTTAAGCCAACCATAGATGGATTGAAACTCTTGTTCAGCAGGGACTGGCCATGAATTGATCCATCTGTGCGCAGGCAGGTTGTACTGAAGACGATCTAGCAACTCACTTCAGTACAGTCAGCCTGTTTGATTTTTTTTTTTCATGTGAACACTGCCGTTGGCTATAGCCACCGGCGGTGATCATTGTGTTTTGCTGCCAGGGAAGGCTCCCCGCTGGCAAAGCACATTAGGGCAGCGGGAGAGAGATTCCCTTATCATCAACACTGTGTTGATACGGAATCAAGCAATTTGATGGGTGGGAATAGATTTTAGCTTAGTTTGGTTTTGACTGGTATTGCCCTTTACCATTTGTTTTTACTTTTGCATTTGTTTACTTTGGGGTTGTTCTACTTGGCATTCATTCTGATTTGCTTGCATTTGCTTGGTTGTGGAAGAAGCCTATTCCATCTGGATGGTCATCAATTCAAACACAGGTACATATTTTACTTCTATCTTTTGTTTTACTATGTAATCTCAACCCACAGATATAAGTGTATAGATACATTGGCTGAACGACTTAGGAGTTTTGCTGGTGTATTGCAGCATTCTCACCACTTTGATTATTCTAATTTAGTGTTAAAATATGGGAAGCTGGACAAAGAAGAGTCACCCCTGAAACTGCATCATGCACTTTGTGTCACAATAAAATGTGATTACTTTAAAAGCATCTGTTTGTGCACTGTTCTCAGCTGGAAGCTTCTGCAGGGACATCTATGGATATACACACTTTTCACTACTGTTAGCCATTTATTCAGTCCACAAAGAACATTTAGGCAGTGAATCATGAAACAAAGTGAAATAGGGCAATTTCTCTGTAATTTGTTACTAAACAGTTTTATTTTCTCTGTGCACTTTAGGAAATTAAAGTTAAAAATGATTGGTTGCTGTGTATGCTTCACTTTATGGAAATTAGTGACCCAGCAATATATACCAACAAATTGGTTTGGATGGTAGGGGTGGGGTTCAGAGAAGGCCTTGTTGCAAGCTTATTTTGGGGGGAAAAAAAAAACGTATTTACAGTACATACAACACTTTGGGGTTTTAGCATATTTTAAAGTAGAAGTAAAACATACCCAAAGAAACATTTACAATACCCATATGGCAGACTGCATATTTTATAGTGAAACATCAGTGGTTTGTCACTTTTTTTTAATGTCAACAGACATTCTTCCACTGTCAAGCAATCCAGGGCTGATAGAATGCTTGGAAAGCATTATCATTAAGGGGTGTGTGTGTCAGCACTGGAAACGGTGACCACACTCTACCATATTGAGGGCAACTGAGTAAGTGTAGTCGCCATAGAAACGAAAGTCGTGCACTGGTGTAAATAGCAGCATCACCGGGTAATATGTATTGCAATGCCAGTACCTGCTCTGCAAAGTTTGTAACACAGTAAAGTTAGTTCAGGCAGCATTCCCTTCCCTGCTATGACTGTTACCAATAGTAGATACAAGGACGCGCTCACCAAACAGTGGCAACTAGTATACTGTTTACAGGTCATTATAAGCTTCACATGTCACACTGCCTGATCCAAGTTATCACAGGACAAACTGCACCCTAGATTTTTTACCCACTCCTCTCTACTCCATGCACTGTGGTAGACCTGATGATCCTGCAGCTGTTACCTGCTATTCCAGATTTCATCTTTCAGCCACAATCAAGCAGGGCACTCACATTTTGATAAAGCAACACAAATTATTCTTTACTGCTTTCTGAATGTTTTTTACAGAGTTTAAAAAAGTAAATTTTAAGGAAATAAAAAAAAAAAAACTCCGTAACTCCATCCTACACATTTTTGTCTTGTGTGACTGCTTCAGGGGCTAGTTGGTGGTACTTCCTTTCTCTCTATTGAACTTCGCTTTCCTCAACAGAGATACAGAAAGCAGTTATGTTAACCCTTCCCCCCTGTCCAAAATTAAAAGAAAATGTTTTGGCTGGAGTTGGGCTTGAAGGCTAGAATTCAGAGGATATGTACCATACAAGGTCAACAAACTCTTCAATACAGATAATTGAAATGGTAAAAGGTGGTTCCACCCATCAACTCCATGTTCTTTGAGTTTCTCTCTGAAACCCCAGCTTTATAAGTACATGTATATTAGAGAAGGATGTGCTTTATCAGTGCTTGCAATTTGTTCAAAGTTGTTTCTGTTTCAGTATTTCCTGTCTAGTTTAACATTCAGTTGCTTTGCTGCCCTGTGTGCCATAAGTGAACACATGATAATAACATAGAAGGGTCAAATCTACCATGTGCTGTGGATGGAGCCCATTTCCTAGTTCCCATTTCCTTTCTCCCATTTCATAGTTCTTTATTTTTTTTTTCTTTCATGTAGACACTGGAACTCCTCTATCGAATTACCAATGAACAGAATGTCACTGTTATTGTACAGAAAATGTTAGAATATCTGAAAGAAAGCAAGGATGAATATGCAATAATCACCTTGGTTGGAAAAATAGCAGATTTGGCAGAAAAATATCCTTTTTTTGCTTGTACAAAATGCATTGATTTTTCTAGAGAGCGGATTAATCAATTTTATTCTTCTGAAGCTATTTAGAAGGCTTTTTTATTTTAGATTTTAAATGTAGTGGATATTCCTCCTTTTTCCTGTGTAGTACCTCTTGGCAGTTTGTTTGTAAAACCAAAGAGCTGAAAATATGAATGGAAGGTGGCTTAAATGGCTTAATTTCCTGACTATTCTTCTGCTGTATTCATCGTGATAATTATGCATTCAGGGTCAATTCAATCCGTTCAGTTAACAGTGTGTGTATGACCCAATATTTTCTGCTTTCCAGGCTGCTAACAAGATCTCCTCCAAATGCTTCCTAGAGGGTATTTATCTAAAACGGCAGTGCACTAAATGTACATATGCAGAGGGCAGCCCTATTTTCTTCTTCTTTTTTTTTTTTTTTTTTTTTTCCATGCAGGTTGTGCTTCTTGCATACAAGTAGTACAGTGATGTGACTGTCCTTTACTGTTCTACATCTGTTCTACAAGTAAGCCTGTTGCCAGATGCAAGAAATTACAGCAGCCTACTGTAAAAGAAGAAGTCTTTTATCTACTTCTTTGATGGACAGTGTGGTGAAACATTGCTTTCTTGAAAATCTCTTGATACTACTGATATCTGACACTTCTTGTTGTCTGATAACACTTCTCTTCACTAGGCGCCATGGTTCATTCCATGTGGAAAACAAAACTTGGATCGCAGTCCAACGATGTACCAGATAACATTTCCATTTATTGAAATCTTCATATAAGAACATGAATCACAACTCCATACATAAGGACAGAGGACAGTTAACGCGGTTCACACAAAAACGTGCTTCATCATAATTATGTATGTCATATGAGACGTGTTAACTGTCCTTTTGTATGGAGTTGTGATTCATGTTCTTATATGAAGTTTTTAATAAATGGTAATTTATCTGGTACATCGTTGTAGTGTGATTCAAGTTTTAATTTCCACACTGATGCTGTGATCACGGATCGGACCTGCACCTGTTGATGTCCAGAGGGGTGGATGATTCAAATACTCACCTGTAGCGGACTTTCTGCTTTCATTATCCATTGGAGACCATGGTTCATTCCATGGACTCCTTTGTGATTAGAAAACAGTGGTTTCTGGTGCTATTCAAAAGAGTGATGTTTCAACACGCTATTTCTAGAAAATACTTGATGAGCCATTTTTAAATCCTATTTTTATAAGTAAGGTGAATGTTATAGAGACTTGGGATTTCCCATTGAAGGGTCGGAAATACAATATGCAGCAAGTGAGGCTCAATTTGTTAAATAACTTGGCATTGAGAGCTCCAATAGTTGTTCCCCATAGTGAACTGATAAATCATCAGTTAATATATGGTATATTCATTCTATATTTCCCTCTAAGTGGAATATATATAAACAGAAATATGTTATGTTTTTCAGCTTAAGGGTCTACATTCTAATACTCAACTGTTCAAAAATATGCAGTCCCAACTGGCCTGCAAATTTAGAGTAACTACAGTACCTGTATTCAAAGTTACAAATCTTTATTCTGCAGGTGTGTTCTGATTTCAGTTTCTGTTTTTTTGCATTGACACATACCTTCTTTAGACCTTGGTCCATCTGGCCTTGACAGACAGCTTAACTCTCCAATAAGACATACGTTTGAAGCAGAAGTATGGCCAAGGCTTTTTTGGCCATGCTTCTGTGAGGTACATGAGCACACTTAGTTCTGCACTCCTGGGATTCTGATTCAGCTGGCAGTGGGTTAAAGTTTGCTGTCAGCCGATGTCTCAGCTGGTCCAGATTCTGCAGAAATCTGAACAGTAATGTAGGGATCTGCCCAAATGCCTAACCGGCAGCTGGCTTAGCCTCTCAGTGCGCCGCTGGGCGCTTGAGCCAGCCGCTCCCTCCAAAAGTCTGCGTTCCTGTGAGTGCTGGAGGGGCAGAGCACTGACTGACAGCTATGCTCAGAGCTGAACCGCGACCTGAGAGATCAGTAGTCTTTGATTGCTCCGTTGGAGCGGACGGGGGACAGCTGCAGCATTGGATCGATGCTGCATCCACCTCGGTCATCATGAATGTTTGTTTTTTTTTAAATCTCACACTTCTCATTTAAAAAGTAAAACTAGGTTGGATTAGAGTGCAGCACATGGGATGATCACTGGTCATTTGAAATAAAGTGACAAATCTTCGCTGCCTCATGCCTGCTTTGAAGGCTTAACAGCTCACTGAAGGAACATGGAGGAGAGGGTCTGTCTTAAAAGACTAAAACAGGCCATACATTATTTGTTCCAACAACCAGCTTGAACAAACGGTCTACATTTGGATCAAAATTTGTCTGGTTTCTGCTGAATCCTCTGAATGTATGGCTAGCTCAAGCTAACTAGCCCCAACAGACAGGGGAGCTTGGTTATACCATTGGCAAATACAGAAATAACAAGTTATAGTTGCCCTGAATTGCCACTAGATGTCAGCATTAAGACACCAATACATTTCTAATGCAATCCTATGGAACAGTAATGGATACATGTTAGGTATTCCAGAACAAAGTTCTCCATTAGAATGACTGCTTTTCATTTTCTTATCTCTTGTATGTCACTATTCAAGTTAAATGGCACACCATATCCTTTGAACAATGAGGACTTGTTTATACACTTTTGTATCATTCAGCCGTGTAAGTTGCTACACTAGTCAGGAGTACACCAAACCTTGAGTATTAATGATTGGTCAGGATTGCTCACTCCCTGCCTCCAAAACCTAATGTCTCTGAACCCGTAATATTACATTGGATGACCTTTTGTGAGTAGTGTTGTACATAATCTTGTTTGTCTTATGTATTCTGTTGTAGTAATTATAGAGTATTGATAAACTGATTGCAAGGTGTAACCATACACTGTATTCATATGTTTAGGAATATAGCAACCTATGACCCATTGGGTTGTGGGTAAGCACTGGTAAAGAATGTTCCAAAATCACCAGAAATGTGCTCTGCCGAAATTTGAATGCAGGGCAAAAGATAACCAATACTGGAAAAAAATGTTTTTAAATCATGTTTACATATAAACTTAATACTGGGCCAGTCAGACAAACTATTATTTCACTATATGTTAATCCAGGCATTCTGCTGGTATTAGAGCATTTTCTCTGGCTGCTCTGTGCCAGATGTCACAAAAAAGCACTGACAAAACTAGCTTACCTACTTCACTTTGATATTCAGTTGAAATTTTGCCATACAGGTTTCAATATGTGACAAACAGTGAGTCCCCTTTCACATTGCTCCGGTGCGTTTTCCCCACAGCATGGGTGCAGCATAGTATATGTGTGGTTTTTGTGTGGGTCACCTTTGCTTTCCCATAGACCATTATGTAGTGTACAGGATTTTCAGAAAATGCATCGGTAATGATAGAAGTCTATGGGAAAGTGCGGGTAATCCGCACGGAAGCTGTGGGTACACTGCTGCGGGGAAACCCCACTGGAGCACTGTGAAAGTGGCATTATCTGTAATGTGTTTATCAAATAGTAGAATTTTTTTTCCTTGACATTCCTCTCACATACTCCCCAAACAACCAGTGGTTTGTTGAGACCATGAATATTGTATTTTCTATTGGAGGAGATATGGTACACCCAGACATTCCCAACAACTTTCTACGACTCCTAGCTGAAGGTAGGACATCAGAAATAATAGTTGTGACTTCAGAATGGGCTGTAAATAAACTGTATTGTCTTCTCTTAGGGAAAAATTAAATGTATTATGATTGACAAACATTATTTAAATTCAGTAGTGCAGTCTTTGACTTCTTTAGATAGTTGGCAACTCTATGCAGAGAACATTGTGAACCATTTTTTATTTTGTGACTGACCTAACAGTACATACGGGTTTGAAAAACCCTGGAGACATTAAATTAAAAGGGGTATTCAACAATGTTGGTGGAATTGACAGAGAGGAATGATCACATTCATGCAAGAAATACATGGTACAGCCAGTGTTACCCTAGGAAATCAAGTATTATTGAATCTTTTAAGGACATGCTTTTATTGAATTTACTAAAAATATTTGTATTAAGGCAAAGATTCCTTAAATGTTGGTAAGTGTGGATGCTTCCAGTGAGTGGATTATGCTTACATTATATAACCGTATAATGTTCTTTTATAATTAGCACAGACAATTTCATTGATCATGCTTAAAGTGGTTCCAAAGACACAAGGTTTTTTACCTTCATGCATTCTCTGCATGAAGGTAAAAAAAAAAGCTTTCATTATTCAGCCCCCCCCCCCCCCCCCCCCGATACTTACCTGAGTGAAATCCGGCGATGTGCACGAGAGCAGTTGCTCTTCTGGGTCTCTGTCTCCTCATTGGCTGAGAGACCGCAGCCATTGGCTCCCGCGGCTGTCACGAGGAGGGTGCGAGGGGCAGAACGGTGTGTGTCTTATGGACACTCAGTGCTGGGCTTGGGAACGATCATGCACGATTGCCCACAGAGTAATCGGAGAAGAAGAGGAGCCAGGAGTGCTGGTGGGGAACCCATGATAAGGAGGATCAGGGCTGCTCTGTGCAAAACCATTTCATAGCATGTTTGTTACTTTTAAAGAAATTACTTTTAATATCATTTTAACATATTCACCTGCTGAGTACTGATACAGGGCTAATCCTGACATCGCATTCTTGAAACCTAGCATAACAAAGGAAGTCTGGAGACATCCACAGTGAAGAACTGCAAAAAAAAGAAAATGAATGTTTGTTTTTGGAGGGGTTTTTTTTGCCTCGCTTTTACGGGAGCAATCCCAGGTAGATAAGATAGTGGTTCACCATGAGCAGAAAGAGGTTTAAGGTACATACAACAGATGATACAAGTCTCAATAGCGCCTAAGTTAGTTTCCCCTTTTTATTAAACACAAACGTGGGTGGGCAGTTGGTTTAATTGATATCATATAAAGTTCCTAATACAACTAGATCTGCAGAGTTTATCATCCAACATCTTGGTGTTAAAGGAGAAGTTTGGGGTAGATTAAAAAAAACAAACATACATACTCTCCTCCAAACTGCAGCATCAGTCTGATGCTGCAGCTGTCCCCCACTTGCTCTAAGTCCCAGAACTGACCACTGATCACTCAGTTATTGGTCAGCTCTGAGCAGAGAGCGGTGACCGACAGCCACCACTCTCTACTCTGCTGCTCCAGCGCTTGCTGGACCTCCAGTCTCAGTAGGGGAAAAGAGCAGCAGGCTTTGGCTCTCAGGTGTGCATTAAGAGATGAAGCCAGCTGTCAATCCAGTTAGTCCGGCAGATTCCAACAATATGGTCGGGTTCCTTTCAGAGCCTGGAGTGGTTCTGTGACATCAGCCAACAGCGGGCTTTAGCCAGATATTGGCTGATTTTTGGTTACAGGAGTGTAAAGTGTACAAGTATGACCAAAAAAGCTCTGTCCATACTTCTCCTTTATGGCCTTCCTAAATATTTATACCCGATCAGGAGGACCATCACAGTTGTCAGTGGAAGAATTTTGAGTGTGCTCATAAATGAGACTTGAGTTTTGTGGAGCATTCTTTCATCCCAACAACTCAAAGCTTTTTGAAAAAGTTCAATCTACAAAACATGGTTAAACTGATGTAGATTGCCCAGTTGTTTGTGACTGGAAGCGATGTTGAGTTTCCAAAGAATCTTAATGCACCTCTTTTTAAATGAACTCTGTATCTGTGTTTGTTCTCAGGGCTTAAAGATGAGTTTCAGTAAGGTTGTTCTGTTGCATTCAGTTGATCCTGAACCAAACTAGGTAAAGGGGTGGGCAGTGTTGATGAGCTAGCTCAGCTAATGTACAGTTCCTCATAAAGTCCCGTACCCACGGGCCGAAATTCGGGCGATATCGGCCGGTTCAACAGAAAACCAGCGGACATTCGGCCTATATAAATACGGCAGCTGGTCCAGCAGAATCTGGCCAAATGTCTGGCTTCAATTGAAGGGGCATGACTGAAAAAAGGTCTTCTGATTGGTGTGTTCTGCTGGAGGGGCAGTCCTTCTGTCAGAACACAATAGCTCAGCGTGAAGATCGCTTCGGATAGTTAGTGCAGCGAGCTCCTCCTGACCTCTTCAGTGTTTTTTGTTTTTTTTTTTATTCAGCCTGCTGGGTTGAACACAAAAAAGCAGATGGTGTGTGTACTAAGCTTAAGTAACTGATTGATTGAAGCAGGCAGTTAATAATGAAATCGGGCAGACTGACTGACTGTAGAGATATAGTAGATCCTGTACATCAGCATTTCTCAACCTTTTTTCAGTTACAAGAAACTTTTAAAAGTATGTAAAATGTCGAGGCATCAGAAGTCTTCCATCGTGTCAGAGTCTCCCTCCTTCTCCCTTTGTGCCAGAGTCACCCCTTTACTTGAGTCTCCCCATCACCACAGAGCTCTCCAGTCACACAGGCCCACCTCTCCAGTCACACAGTCCTCTCTTAACATCAGATCCCTACCTTTTGGCTCCAGTGACACAGAGGAGGGGTGGGAGGTGGTGGAGGTTTGGCCTCTAGAGCATCATTGGTTGTTGTAGTGTTGGCAGCTGGCCTGTCTGTACCATGGCAACTTATAATACTTATCCAGGGCAAACTGGGTCCCAAGCTTGTGGAACCCTGGGTGAAGCCAGATGACACCCTGGTTGGGAAACACTTAACAGACAATGGGTTTTGTCAAAGTGGTGGGCTATTCTGTGCCATGTTGGAATGCGAAAAATAAGTTTCCAGTGTACTAGTATGGGCTCTTTCTTTTTTTGAATGTTAAAGCTGGGAAAAGCCTGCATGTTCACTTGAGTTTGAATGGGCTGATAAAGTATGGATCAACCTAGAGCAGGTGTCCAAATATTTTGTGTATGGTGTGTATGTACTGTATGTATATGTAATATGTATATTCTCTGAAGTGGTATATGAATTAGATGATTAGGCATTCATAGATTGAAAAGTACATAAAGAGGACTCTTCAGATAAAGGTAACATTTCAGTGATTTTATGGCAGTAAAGTGAATGTAGGATAAGCAGAAGGTAACCATAATACATGACTGCATCATATTCTTGACGCAAACCTCTTTAGTAGGTAGGTGTACATTTGCTTATAATATTACTGTATTTTACATTGTTTTTCAACATCAATATACAGTACATTTAAAGGAGGCTCTATTTCATGAGCCATTGTTCCCTCATCTCTCACTGCCTCTTAATTATATTTCTCCTCTGAGCCTCTGCTGTTATTTTGCTTTATCTGGATATATTATAAGGACCTGGATACAGCAGAGCTGCTATAAGGGTATGTATACTGTTCTTCTGTGTGCCCCCACGCACATACAGTCTTCTGTATAATATCTTCAGCCTGATGATCTTACATTTTCAAATGGTGAGGGCAGTTTATTTTGGTCCCATTGTCCAGCGGGTACTCTTTCTGTTTAAAATGTAATTTTTCATCTCTGCAGGATTTGCTGATGAAAAGGAAGATGGACAGCTGAGGCTGTATGCAGTGCAGTCTTATCTTGCCTTACTGGAAATGGAGAATGTGCATTATCCCCAGCGCTTCCTACAGGTTATCAGCTGGGTAAGGAAGATATTAGTGAAAAGCCAGTCTTTGTAAGGGGGAACTTGGCACAGACATTAGCATTTTCTATTCAAAGGCCAGGCTGCTCGCTTTGGAGCAGTCATGTAAATTGGCTGTTTCACACTGGCTAACTTCTAATTATGCTCTCTTTACTTGCTAGCAAAGGATTTTTACAAATAAGCCCAACAGCATTTTCCAGTTTCTCAAATCACAGAACTTTTAAATCTGCATACAGAAAATTTGGTAATGGAATGCTGCTTTAATTACTTGCGGATTTATTTAATTAAAATAGTAATTTGCTTTTAGGTGGTGGTTTTCTTCTTATGAAATGAGGTTGCATGTCTTACTTTCCTATTCTGTATTATTTAATATAAAGCATCCATTAAAGTTGTATTAAGCCCAAAAACAAAAATGTAATATATTGCAGTTTACCAATCCTTACATGTGGAGGCTGCATTATTTTTTTTTTTTTTTTTTAGGCTTTTTCTTTTCATTTGGAGATTTTGCTTGTAACACACTTATTGTCTTAGGCTAGCCATAAATGCATTTTGTTTTTCTTTCCATCAGCCAGAGGGCTGGTCGAAAAACAATATGAATGGATTCCCCCATCCACACATGCGAGGTGGATGGAGGAATCCTCCCCTCTGTGCCTTTGCATTCTGACAGTGGGACTCCTCCACTGTCAGTATACACTGATCACCAGCTGCAGTAAGCTGATCGACAAAAGTTTTTTGACAGTCCGGTTCCTGTCTAGTAGGAATGGCCTTGGATGGATTGTAATTTGGCTGGTCCCAGCTGAAAGAGTCAAATTTCAGTCCACCTATGGGCAGCTTTAGGGTGGCTGCATAGTGGAAGCAGTAAAGCAGACACCTCTGAACAGCAGCATTGTCAATCTGAAGGGGGGGTGGGGTTAGTGTTAGACTAGCAGATTTAAGAAGGGTATACACACACAGTTTTTGTGTTTGCTGGTTTTCCAGCATGACCGAAAGCTGGTATGTGTATACCCTGCTTTAGATGGACTTGACTAACCAACTGAAGTTGAACTCCAGCTAACACTTTTTATAAGCAGTTAATCGAAAGGTTTTTTTTTTTGTCCTTTTGGGATAAAGAGTTTACACAAATGAATAAAAGCTGATCATTGTAAGAACCCTGTCAATGGTTTGTCTCAACACTAATGGCTACTGTGCTTGAATAGCTTGGTCTGTTAAAGTAAGTGTCCTTTCACATGGGCATCAGTTCAGTCACGTTTTTTTTTTGCTAAGAAAAACCTAATGCATACAGATTCGCGTTTTATCAGCATACATCAGTTTGCACATCTGTGTTTAATTCAGTTCAGTTTACATTCACATTTGCATCTGTTTTTTTTAATTGTTGCAGAAACCAATCATAGGTGATGAAAGTATAAACAAAAAATGTTTATTTCCTAAAAGTGACATAAAGAGAACAGATGTAAACAGACAGCATCTGTTTAGAACCGTTCAGATCCATTTAAACAGAGAAAAACAGACCTGAATGGACACGTATGTAAACAGATGAGCAGCAGGTGATTGACAGCCTCAGCTGTGCATGTTTCATTATGACACTGTAGAGGGGGGTGTGTCATTTCCCTCCAGTCAGATTTCAGATTGCACTTCTCCCATGCTGTGTAGTGTGTGACGTCAGATCCCCATCCCCAGCCTCCTGGAGCTATGAAATGCTGTCTAAATTCTGGGCTTTGAAGGGCTGTAGAGAAGAGAGGTCTGCAGACAAGAGGTACATCTTATTTAGGCGGATTTGCTTCATCTCTGTGTACCACCTAAGGGTAGTTGCTTCAGTGGGTATGTAAGGACTTACAACCACTTTAAGGCACATAGAATATCAGTAATGGTAACCTATTAAAGTGGAGTTCCACCTAAAAGTGGGAGCTCCACTTATCTGCTCCCCCCCACTGCCACATAGGGGGAGTGGATAACTGGTTTTGACAGGTACCTGCTCCCATGTCTGCCCGCAGCCATCTGGGACATTTCACAAGTCTCAGAGGATGGAGGTCCATTCACAAAGCAAAGCGCGATTTTGTGCATATGCAGTAGGAAACTGGCTGTGAAATTGCAAGGCTTCACTGCCAGTTTCCCTTAATCAAGATGGCACCGCAAGCACCCAACAACAGATTGAAGAATCGGCTTGGGGTGAGGACAGCACTGAATCCCTGCAGTTCCCTAGTATTGTAGCTACTGACTTTTAATTTTTGGGAGGGAGGGCCGCAACTCCTCTTTAATGTTATTTGGGAGCAATGCTGATCCAACACCTTCAATACATTTTGAGTCCCGGACCTAGAACAGTTCTGACTGCATTTGTTGGTATACATTTGCAGAGCCATGGAAATCTGTGTGACAAAGGCAGCTAGCAAAAATGCAAAAAATAAAAACAAAAAATCAATGGCAACCATATTTCCCTCATGATAGATTCCCTTCAAAATTAAAGTATAACTATAGGCAAAACTTTTTTTTTTCAGTTTTGTATAGAGTGGAGATGGATTAGAATGCTTGTCAGTTTTTATTGCTGTCTGTGTCCACGTTAGGGGGATTCACCCTCTCTATTTGTCCTGTTTACCATTTTAATTGAAAGTGAAAGTAAAAGAAAATCCCAAATTTGGGTTGTCCTCAGAAAAGTAATAGAGGGGAAATCTTGCAACCGATTAGAACTCCCCCCAACCCCCCCCTATCATTTTGCCTAGAGTTTTGCTTTAAAGCAACCCAATCACTTAGACTTTATATAAGCTTTAACATATTAATTTAACTTGAAAAGTTATTTGAATAGTTTAAATCTGCAGATGTTCAAGTAGTACCTAGGGATCCTGCCATGAGGGTCCTTGTTTAGACACATCCTGTAGATTGTCAATGCTGTGTCAATATTAAAACACAATATGCAGGCATGACCCACTTGTCACCATCAGAGAACCCACCCTGAGAAATGTAGCCATAAAGGCATGAAGTGTCTGCTGGAGATGCACAGCACTTGGATGTAACCAGAAACGTTATATAAAGTGAAATGACAATTGTTCTACATGGGGCTTTACTTAAGTAAATGTCATTCATTTAGGGTTTACATCTGCTTCAAATTAATTCCAACCAGAAAATAAATGTTCTGGAAGGAATTGTCATTAAAAGAGGCCGCCATCAAAAGCTATCACTTTAATTTTGGATGGAGTTTAACTGTTGAAGAAAACTGGTTTTATTTTTCAGGCCCCCATATGAGAATAGTCCTTCATTGTCTGATTTTACTGTTGGTAAAATCTCCTGCTTTCATGTGCCAAGTCATTTAGAAAAATACACCAGGGAGACTTAAAATAAAAATTGGTTCCTTTACCTTTCCTCTAAATTTCACCAGTAAATGTCATCTCTTAGATTGTAAGCTCCAAGGAGCAGGGCCCTCCTAACTCTCTTGTATTGAACTGTATTGTTGCTGTATTGTCTCCCGTGATATTGTAAAGCGCTGAGCAAACTGTTGGCCCTATATAAATCCTGTATAATAATATAATAATAATAATCTGCTTGTCAGCTTTGTGCAGGCTGTGCGTATAGTGTTTAATTAGTGGTGCATGTTTAAATATGCTACTTACTTTTTTGTTTTATTTTAAATTTATTCTATTTTTTTATACAGGTGCTGGGTGAATATGCCTACCTTGCCAAGCACATATCTACAGAATCTGTGATGAGAAAACTGTATGACCTGTTCTTTCAAGGTTCTGTTACCTCTGAAACTAAGGCCTGGATTATGGCAGCAATAACAAAGCTGGCTGCAGTCACTCACCACTGCTCATTAGTGGATAAACTAATCCAAGAATTCTCTACCTGTCTGGACACAGGTATAAGGCAACAGGCTTGTGAATTAAAGGCTCTGTGGGAGGATGCACAGCTAATACAGAGGCTTTTTCCACTGAACTCCAGCTGTGAGGACTTATCGGTAAGTACAAGATTAAAATACTTGGTCTCCATCTTTCAACAACCAAGTGTAACTTGGATTGTAATGAGCTTAAAGAGCCACGTCCGCTCTATAAAAGCGCAACTAAGAACATTCTGAAATATGTTAAGAAAAAGTTTTTATACCTGTACAGTAGTTGATACTGTGTTTAAACTAGATGTATGGTGACAACACTCTGTTCTTGTTTCCTAATTTCTCTCCTGTGTTGTCACCCTGTCACAGGCACTTTTGGAGACTGTAGGTGGCTGTGCTGGTGTTAAATGCGCGGTCACTTCTACAGTTGTAATCATCGGGAGTATTTATTTCTAGAACAACTTTTTTTATATATCTAGTAAGAGCTTCTGCATTAATCGATGGCTAATATAGTGCATCACTCTGCTACTCATACCAATAATTAAAAAAACAAAACCAAAAAACCCCATCAATTTAAATGTAGAAAGTGCTCATATAGAACTGACCAACCCCTATTACAGTTTTTTTTTTTTTTGTTTTTTTTTTTTAAGTAAAATATTTGCAGTTGAGTGCAATCATGCTCTATATGCCTTTCATGTCAATGTTCTATTTTTACAGGTTGATGCCTCTCTTTCTTTTGTGGATGGATTTGTGGCCGAGGCTCTCAGTAAAGGGGCAGCACCATATAAGCCTCATCACCAGCGCCAAGAAGAAAAGCTTTCCCGGGAAAAGGGTACACACCAACCATATGTGTTTTAACCTAATTACTTTGGAATATTGAATTCAGCAGTTTGCCAGCTTACTCTATAGTGTATCAGCATGTTATACATTTAGTTCATGGATTAAATCCACTTGTACGCCTCTATATATGACCTTGGGTCCTCCCCCCACCCTGGAAAAAAACCTAAAATTACTGATTTACAAAATGAAGGTAGACATTACAGTTACAATACAATTTGGTATAAGAGGAAACAGAGGGCCCTGCTCCTTAGAGCTTACAATCTAGGAGGAAGGGTTGAGTGATACTATAGGGTATAGTGATACAGTTCCCTATGCATGAGAATGCTACCCTCTCAGCACATGCTGTAGTCAAACACATGGGAACCACTTGCATTATGTTCTCATTTGTTTTTATTTGTTCTCAGTTGTTATACGTCTTTGCTCATATTTCTAGCTGCCTTTATTGTGAAGCTATTCATTCTCAAAGATCATAAAAAAAATCTGTTTGCAAGGTTACATTCACAGTGGTGGCTTCCGGCGAGAAGCCAAGCACTCTTACCTGTGGGGCTGAATGCTGCATGCACACAGCGTGGGTGAACAGCAGCAGCTGTCAGATTTGTACTTCGTACAAATCAATGGCTGGTGCCGCCACTGTTCGTATGTATCTGATTTTTTTTTTCTTGTACAAAAACAGTACAAATTAAATGAAAATTGTTCTGTTAACGAACGAGAAAAAGTTTTTTGCGTTTGTCCCTTTTGGAAATAATTTTGGAAAGTCTGAATCGGATGTCGAAAGCTGAGTACACACTATATGAAAATCAAATGATTGTTCCTGGTATATAATTTTTCTTCATATTTGCTCATAGTGTGTGCCCCACTTTAAGCCTTGATGCAGAGCTTTGGGTTGCATGGTTCTTTGTTTATATTGTAACTTGCAAAGTAGTTAGACAACATCTATATACAGTTAGGTCCATATATATTGGAACACAGGCACAATTTTCATACTTTTGGCTCTGTATGCCACCAGAATAAATCAAAACAAAATAATTCAAATGAATTTGAAGTGCAAACTTTCAGCTTTAATTCAAGGGGTTGAACATAAATATCAAGTACAAATTTTAGGAACTGCAACCATTTTTATACACAGTCCCTCCATTTTCAGGGGCTCGAATGTAATTCAACAAATGAATATAATCATAAATAAAATGTTAAATTTTTTATATTTTGTTGAGAATCCTTTACTGACAATGACTGCCTGAAGTTTGGAACCCATGGACATTACCAAAGACTGGGTTTCCTCCTTTCTGATGCTTTGCCAGGCTCTAACAGCAGCTGTCTTCAGTTCTTTGTTTATGGGTCTTTCTGCCTTTATTTTTGCCTTCAGCAAGTGAAATGCATACTCAATTGGGTTGAGATCAGGTGATTGACTCGGCCCTTGCAGAATATTCCACTTCTTTTCCTTCAAAAGCTCCTGGGTTGCTTTTGCAGTGTGCTTTGGATCATTGTCCATCTGTACTGGGAAGCGCCTTCCAATCAACTTTGCTGCATTTGGCTGAATCTGGGTTAACAGTATATCTCTAAACACTGAAGAATTCATGCAGCTGCTTCTGTCTTCTGTCACATCATCAATAAACACCAATGACCCAGTGCTGGAAGCCATGCATGCCCATGCCATCACACTGCCTCCACCGTGTTTTACAGATGACGTTGTGTGCTTTGGATCATGAGCTGTTCCAAGTCTTCTCCACTTTTTCTTCCCGTCATTCTGGTACAGATTATTCTTCGTTTCATCCATCCAAAGAATGCTTTTCCAGAACTGGTCTGACTTTTTAGATGTTTTTTGGCAAAGTCTAATCTGGCTTTTCTATTCTTCAGGCTTATGAATGGTTTGCACATTGTAGTGAACCCTCTGTATTTGCTCTCTTGAAGTCTTCTCTTGATTGTACACTTTGACAATGATACACTCACTTCCTGGAGAGTGCCCTTCACTTGTCTGAATGTTGTGAATGGGTTTTTCTTTACCATAGAGAGGATCCTGTGATCATCCACCACTGTTGTCTTCTATGGACGTCCATGCCTTTTTATGTTGCTGAGCTCCCCAGTGCATTGTTCTTTCCTCAGAATGTACCAAACTGTTGATTTGGCCACTCCTAATGTTGCTGCGATCTCTCTCTGATGTATTTGTTTTGTTTTTGAAGCCTTAAAATGGCCTGTTTCACTTGCATGGACAGCCCCTTTGGACACATGATGTAGGTTCACAGCAATAGAATCCAAATGCAAATACCACACTTAGAATCAACTCCAGACCTTTTACCTGCTTAATTGATGAAATAATGGAGTAGCCCACACCTGGACATGAAACCGCTTTTGATTCAATTGTCCAATTACTTTTGGTGCCTTGAAAAAGGGGGGATGGCTATTCTTAAGAGCTGTAATTCCTAAACTCTTCCTCCAATTTGGATGTTCATACCCTCAAATTAAACCTGAGAGTGTGCACTTTCAGCCCATATCCATTATATAACTATAGCTTGAATATGTTTTGGTAAATACCTGAAAAAAACTAAAATTGTGCCTGTGTTCAAATATATATGGACCTAACTGTATGTTCACTTTTTGTGTAATTAATTAGGACAAGATCCTTTTATTATTTACAGTAGATAATATTATGAACATTTTTTGTAGTTCTGTTTTTCCTTTCTTGTACCAGTTTGAAAAGGTAATAGCTCTCACACTGTTATTTGCAAGTACCAGTTTCTTTCTAGTATAGGTCATGGAATTAGGTTCCATTTCTGATAAACATATTTATTTGCTTGTATGTAATGGAGACTGTGACTTCTCTAGCAAAGTGTTTAAAGTGTAAACTTCGCCAGCTTGGAGGTAATCCAAAGTTTACTCAAGGTTCAGAGCCACCGTATGCCTGTGGACCAGATGGGGAAACAGATATTTCATTAGGGTAACCAGTGCTTCTTAAGAGGATAGACTCTTAATAACATAGCTGTAACATTGCAGCGACCTGCTGGAGAGCTTTGATCTCTGGCTGCTGACCTGAGCTGAAGCACTTGACTGATCGACTGACGATTGACAGATCTTTTTCTAGATTTACGAATATGTCTGTAACTGATTTATATGTTAGGACAGCATAGAATATTAGACTGTATAAACATGCTTTATGATTATCTAATCTGAATGTTTAGTTTACAGCTAAGTTTGGCTTAGCTTAGTTTGTGTGCTGATGTCTCTGGAAAAATAACTAATGGGGACACATGTACTCCACTTATATGGTGTTACTACAACTTTCTAATTCACTAGTAAAGATCAATGTGTGATAGCAAGTATCTCTGACAGCTGGAAGGTTGTAAAATTCCTATTGTTGCAAATGATGCTTGAACATTTATGGATTTTATCACCTTTTACACCCCATTCACGACTTGGCATGCGATTTGCATACCCTGCGACTTGCAAATCGCATGCCAAGTCGCATCCTATTGTCCTCATCTGGAGCGGTCATATCGGTGCGGTTCCAACTTGATCAGAGCCGCATCGATTTCAAAAGTAGTACATGCATTACTTTTTGTGCGATTTTGAATAGACCTCTGTATCAGCGGGTCCCCCGACTTTGAAATCGTGCGACTTCACTGTAAATTGCACGATTTCAAAGTCGGGCTTGATGTGAACGGGGGCTTACTCACAAACCGCAAATACAGACTTGGTAACTGAATTTTTCTGCTGTTTCTCATAGCTTTGAATCTAGAACCATATGGACTCTGCTTTTCTCCGAGTTTACCTTCTGTAGGCCTGACTGATGGGCACTCACCCTCTGGAATCTCTGTGGTATCTGAGGCTTCCGGGAACAGTGTTGACACTGGACAAAAGGAGTAAGTAGACTGTTCTATTAACTGTTTTTAGTAAGCACTTGCTTTTTGGTATAGTAAGAGCTACATTCAGCTTCAGTCTTGTAGAGAATGAGCTAGTTCAATACTTTTGATCTTAAAGTGACATTTCAGTCAATTTAAAAAAACAAAACAAAAAAAAAAACAACAAACATGTTATACTTGCCTGGTCTGAGGAATGGTTTTGCCCCTGCTGGAGCACCTGGTCCCTCCTGAGTGCCACCAGAGCAAGCAGCTTGCTATGGGGCTACCCAAACAGGCCCGCTCCTGAGCTACTGCTCTGCGTGTCTATTCACACACACAGCCACAGCTCGGCCCTGCCCCCTCTCCTAATTGGCTCACTGGATGTGATTGACTGCATATGCAGCCAATGGCTTTCACTGCTGTCTCCGACAATGAATTGGAAGAGTCCCCAGAAAAATATGTCTCTCATGCACACCACTGAATTGACAAGTATTGGGGAGGGGGGGGGGGGGGGGGGGGCAGTTGCACACACAGGTGTTTAACTTCATGCATAGAATGCAGAAAGGTAAAAACCCTTGAGCCATCACAACCACTTTAACGTTAGGTCTACTCTTCAGCTTAATATACAAAGAACTAGATCCATGTTTTATTCAGGCATAATAAGAGCTAAAATCCTTGCTTCAGTCTGATATAATAAGAGTTATACCCAAGCTTCATATTATTATAGTTGGAGATATAACCCCATGCTTCGCTTTGTGGTAGTCTACTGACGTGTTAGACTGTTTTGGGCAGGTGTTTTTACATGACCTTTTCAATGTGTGTTAATGCCTTGTCTGCTAGTGCTGCACAATGTTGTTGTGCTTTCAGGTTGCTGTAGGGCAGAGAGAATGATCTTCTAACTGGGAATGTTCAGTCCACATTATAAACATTTTAGATATAATCAGTGTGTTGTATTAAACACATTAAAATTAAATATATGTGATCTGGCTCCCCTGTGTCAGCCAGCAGTGGCTGCAGGGAGAGGAGGGAGTGCCAACAACAGGTGGGCCATAGTAAGCCTATGAGTGATGTTGCCACTCCCAGGTATTTCCAGATGTTGAGTGCTCTCTCCTGTTCCCTGCAGCTGGCACTGGCTGACACGGGAGATTTGTGACCGGACTGGAGGGCCTGATATTTGGAGAGTATGTAGATCTTCCTTGCATGGATTAGTCAGAATAGGTTTTGGAAGGGGATTGGACATGTTATGTTTAAGATTAGTTCATTCGTTCTGCACTCCTGTGCCCCTTGTTCAGCCAACAGCAGGCTAAAGTCCACTGATGCCACTCAGCCAGTCCAGGCGGGGGAAGGTAATACAACTACGTCTTGTGCTTGATAATGATGAGGTCATCTCCCTGTCACCCTGCTCTCTTCTCCTGTCAGTATGTTATTTCTTAGGAGATGAGCACCGCAGTAGAACTGGTTGACCTCTTGTACTGCTTCTCCCTCTTCCAGTCTGAGCTCTGAATGAGCAGATTCAGAACGATAGGCAGTTGAAGTTATGCACAAAGCAAAACCTACTCTATAAATGTTGAACTTGCTCCTGCCTGCCCCTTCTTCTCTATCAGTCCCCTAATGTGGACTAAGTTACCATTCAGAAGATTCTGAAGGTGGGGGCAGACAGGAATAGTTAAAGCAGTTTTCCATTATAAATATCAGATCTTTATCTATGGCTTTCCGTTAGAATCGCTGTGTTGAATTTTTTTTTCTAGTAGAAATATTTCAGCAAAAAGTAAACAGCCAAGAAGGTTTCGAGGGAACATTCCAGCTGTACAAGGGCCCTGCAAGGAAAAAATAATCATGCAATTCCCAGGTGTATGGGGCTTCCAGTACCAATGTATTGTGATTTAGCACAAAAAATGTCAGGATTCACTTTTTTAATTTGTGGCTTGCTCCACTCAGTATTTTTTTCTGGGTGGAATGAGTTTATTTACCTTGAAACCCAAAAAATGAATAGCCAAACTACACGCTTTCCTTCTTTATTTATTTATTCAATTTATTTATCTTTTAATAGCTGATGTTTTTTTCAGAATAAATGAAAAGGCAAACTTATACAGTATACCCTCCTCACCCCTCCCAGTTTCCACTGTGGGTGATGGGCTGTCAGTGCCCAGGCAGCTGGTGTAGCAGCCACAGCATTTAAAATCCTCACTCTTCTCACTCTTGTTTCTGCAGCGTTTCTGGGACAGATCAGAGTAATTCCAATTGATCAATACCGACACAGAAAATTTGCTCTGATCCATTCCAGAAGTGTTGCCCAGAGAAGAGAGGAGATTTCAAACCCCTGGACCGCTACACTGGCTGCGTGAGTACTAACCGCTCCTCACCACTAGAAAAAGTAGTACAGTTGGGAACCAGGAGGTTGTTAGGGTGTTAGTTCACCTTTTAATTTTTTTCTGAGAACATGAACTAACCCATTAAAGTAGATGAAACGCACATGAATCAAAAAGCCCACAGTGCTGTTGCAAAGATGAACTCTTTTACTGATCATGAATATATTGTCTCAGTTTTCATCGCCGGACTAGGCAACGCTGAAAATGTGTACCATTTTTATAGTAACATGTTTATAAAGTAGTTTACTAGACCAATAAATGACAGTCTACTGTGGTAAAGAATAGGGGCTGCTTCAGAAGTTTTATGTTGAATTAATGCATTCTGTTTGTGATTAGGGAGAATCGCCTGAAGATGGATGGTGTAAAGAAAGTCTGGGGGAAAGAAGGTTACCTGTTAAAAAAGGAAAGTAAATCTAGTAAATCCGAGTCTATCTCTCCTCCACTGGAAAGCGGTATATCACTGGGTGAGGATGAAGAGCATCCTGAGATGTCTGGGGAACAATCCTTGGAGCCTATTTCAGAAGATGAACGAGAAAAAAAACAACTGGCTTCCTCATTGTTTGTTGGTCTTGGATCCAGTGCTGTCAGCTTGGTAAGTGTTCTTTTTTTTGTTTTTTTATTCTGTATGACTGGTAAAGCAGATATGTAGTTTACCCATTCTAGGGCATACAAAATGTCATCATGCAAAGTAACCAGATTGCTTTAATCCCCCATCCTTGGCAGCATAGACTTACCCTTCTTTTACTACCCTGGTCTCTTTTAAGTTTCAGGGACTTCTGGGTATGGAGCAGCATGTGACGCAGTGTGACAGTCCAGGGCCAATCAGCCCTGACAAATTGGATGTCATAACCCTGTATATGCTATAGCTTCTGTGAATCATAGCTTACACTGGGCTTTCTTATACCTCCAGCAGCTGAGCTAAGGCTGGTCATTGACGACTTGATCAACCTGCAGACTGATTGAAAAAAACAAATAGATTCCCCCCATCCACACAAGCAAGGTGAATGGAGGAATCTCACCACTGTGCCATCATATTTGGACTCCTCCACTGTCAAAATACACCGATAAGTGGCTGCTGCCGCTGACCAGCAAAGGTTTTCTAACACTCCCATTTAACAGAAGTTGATCATTACATTGATTTCTGTCAAGCAGAAACGGCCATATAGATAGAAATTCGATCGGTCCCTGCTGAACTGCATGAATTTTTAGCCATCTTAAGCTGCATCAGAGAAGATAAAGGAAGGGAAGTTTGTGTTGTTGGAATGTTGCATTATAGTGAATCTGTTGCTTTATCAATAAGCAAAGCATAGATTCACTTTAAGTGGTTGTAAACCCTTACATAAACCCAGTGAAGTAACTGTCATCAGATGATACACCTACATGAAACAAATCCTCCTACATAAGTTGTACCTGTTTATCTGCCATCTTCTTTTCTCCACATCCGCTCAAAATCTATCATTTATAAAGCTTGTCTGAGTGTCAGAAAACAGGGCTGAAAGCTGAAGTTACACTCTGCAGAGCTCATTGAAGAGAGCTCTGAGGGCTGAGTGGAGTGAAGGGACACACCCCCTTCACACAGCACACAGAAACAGAGTTGAGGCTGTCAATCTGCTGGAGGTCCTTGCCCTGTCACCATTTTTCTCTTGGTGTCAAGAAAACTTGTCAAAAATGATTCATGCTGATAGCAAAGGTACAAAGCAGCTGACAGAAATGACACTTAGTGCTCTGGATTGAGACAAGTACAAACTATAGGGGGATATGCTTTGTTCACATTTCATGTCTGATATTTACAACCTCTTTAACTTGAAAAAATCACTAATATGTTGACAGTTGATTCTTGTGGTGCTGTTGCTTCACTGTCTGTCCCATAACAATCAGTGATCTTCTCCATTTCTAACCTGCATTAGAAACAAATGCAAAAAGCTGATCGGATTAAACCATATATATTATGGAGGGAACACTTTATTTTTTTTTTTTAATCATTAATTGTTCTTAATGCTATGTTTCAACTCTTGAACAGCATGTGTTTTGGCCTTCTGTGATTATATTGCTAATAAAAAAAATACATTGGTACACTGTGCGATTTTAACTTGGTTCTACTAGTTGCCAAAACTGAGAAGCTGTAGGAATTTTCTTTAGATTGCATGGCTTATCTCTAGTAACCCAATGAATGAAAATTGTAGGCAGCTCTCTTACTACATCTCTAACTCCTATCATGTTTGCACGCCAAGTGCAGGTTCCTCATCCTTGCAGTAGTCAGAATACTAAAATCAGCACATCATCATCCTCTGCTAAAATGCAATCTGAATCTCTAACCAAAAAAAACATAAAAAAAAAACTGGCAACACATAGCTGTTCATCTATGAATAACAACACTCCTGTCTGATAGGTGTCAGCAGTTTGAGGATTTTATCCTGAAGTGTTCAGTAAAGGGGTTGTCTTTATGTTATAAATGCTTATGTGCTATTCACTGTTCTTTATTTTCTGAAACATACACTGCGTCGTAAATATCTGATTTTATATATATATTGTATTTTAAAGATGGGTAAAACAGACCAATCAACGCACAAGTTCAAGAGGAAATCAAAGATGGGAAATAAAATTACAGATAAAGCATCCTTGTACACATTTGTGGATCAGAATCATGTAATGCAGACTTTACCAAATGATGCCCACTCCATGGACTCAAGACTGGCTACACAAGGGCCTGGCACTATTGGAGAGCATACTGTTGATTCAGAGGTTTCATCTTTGTTTGCAAACACTAACCTGGACATCGTACAAGTAAATGAACCATCCTTGCCCATACACAAAGTCTCCCGAACTCTCTTTGTGCCATCCTTGCCTCCTGAACTCGCCCAGTATACCCACACAGAGCTCACTGAGCTCACAAGCAATGGAACTCTGCGCATCTACTCAAGTAAAGTATGGAAGGATGACAGTGTCTTGTTGGCTTTGGTATTTGTCAATCAGGATTCTTCAGCAATAAAATGTATTACTGTGAAGATGGAAGACTCTGAGAGTGTTACTGTAAGTTAGTGAAAAGTAGCTGTGTAAGTAATACTTATGTATAAGATGACAATGTGTGAAAAGTATTTTATGACAATATGGTTTTTTATGCCATGTATCGGGAGTCCTGTCTGAAAATAGGCATTTTTCACATGAATTGAGGACAAGTGTGTGTGTGTGTGTGGTGGAGACGGGGTGTCACACAGACATTCTTTTAACACTGAAAAGTAACTTAAAAGATAAGTTCACCTTTGGGAACATTTTATATGTTCCAACCCTTCTTAGGGTGGAACACATAACATGTTCTTGCTCGTGCAGCTGCTCTGTGATCCAACCCTCTGTGTGACCGCAGTACAGGGAGAAGTTCCCTGTACCAGCTGTCACTTTTAGAAAAGGAGGTGGCCATGCAGGGCTCCACACGGCCGCATCATTCATTCACGTTTTTTCTTATCTGTCAAACAATGTGCATTTTATTTATTTTAAGGGGTAAACTTATCCTTTAAGATAGTGTTTAACCTTTCAAGGTTAAGTTCACCTTTTAGAAAAATTATAAATTCAGATATTTTTGCAGGAAAAAAGTGCATTTAATATTTTCTGTTAAACAGAGGCATTGGACTCATGATCAGTGGATCTATTGTGAAATGTCAGGTCCCTACAACTCTTCCTCCAGCTCTCTGCCCATACTTCTGTATAGGCTTTCAGTTAGAAAGCTGGAGGAAGTGTCAGTGGACTATGAGTGTGCTGATTACCGCATTTATATTTCCTTTTGAGAACTACAAGTCTGCCTGGAGCGATGGTGGGTTTATTCATTCACAGACCTCTGTAAATTAATGATGTGGCTGTGGGGGTAGAACCCTGCACAGCTATGCCAGTTTTAAAAGTGACAGTGGCTGTGGGGGAGATGAGCCCCCTCACGTTGTCAGAGGGGGCAGATTCTTAGCGACATGTTTAACGTTGCACCCTAACTACGTACATAACATGTCGCTAACGTTGAAGTTAGCCTTTAATGTCTCTTGTGCCTATTTGCTTAGTTATTTTAAAAATCTTTATGTATGCACCTCGTAACCTGTTGATTTGTTACCTAAGTGACACTATGTTCCATTAAATTCTAATGGAGTGTAAAGAAAAAATATCCTGTGTGAATGGATAAATTGTATACAAAGGGCACATTGGAATCCATGGTTAACATAATGATGGTTGCGTTCTTTTCTTTATGTTTTAGGTTTCCAAGAGTCTTTGTTGTCAGCTCTCTCACCTGGAAGGAGCTGGAGTTCAGCACTGCTGGGAATGTGTACAGCTGAAGAAACCGTGTAATAATGTGACAGTCTCAGGCTGTGTCACTTACCAGTTAGATTCAGAGGTGCCTTCTCTAATGAACTTTTCCATAGAATTTGTGCTGCTTGATTTTATCAGGTAATGTTGGTCTGTATGTTTTATTGAGGCTTTTACTTTTTATGTCATGTAGGTATTAGCTGTCTGCTTCATAATCATTTATTACTAAAATATTTTACTAAGTACTAGGTTTTTTTTTTATGGGATTACTAACCCAAGTGGCATATGCCAGTCACTGGCCAATGCTAAACATTTACATAACAGGAATCCAGAGAAAAGGTATAGTACAAGCCAAGTCAAAACCTTGTTTTTTTTTTTTTTTTTTTTTTGTTTTTTCACTATTTTTTTTTTTTTTACAAAACCTGCAGTAGGAATTTTATTTGATGCCATGGGCATTTGACATTACTTTTTTGTGAATAAATTCCAGCATATATGCTTTCTTTTTCCACTTAGAGATTTTGAACACTGGAGGTACATCCTTAAAAAATGTCAGCAGAGTTTCAGAGGCATTTCTGTTGCATTCAATTCCTCTCCTCTTCTGCTATTACCGGCAATTATCAAGTGTCCAAATGACCTCTGGAAATTCCTATGTGGTGCATTGCAGAAGCGACTGTCAAAATGCCACCACTTTTGTGTAAAATGGCACTACAGATAGTCTGCAAGTGTTATTTAGTAAATATAATATATAAAGTATTTACCATTTCATTCATATCTAAATCAAAGGTCCGACCTTTGATCTGATGAGTTAAAGAAACTTTTACATTTTTTTTTTTTTTAAATAAAATGTATTCCTATTTAAACTTTGGTAACCAGTAAATAACTCTAATCAGCTCTAATTAAAGTCTTCACCCTTTATTCTTTTAGGTGTCATTGTTCTGCTGATTGATTTGATTTTTAACCTTTAATATTTATTTAGTTTTTCATTCATTTTCTATGTTATTTTTGTCAGTATCGTACGAAAAAATGCGGGGAAAAACTTTCTCATTTGCAATTTTCTTTATACAAGAAACCACATTATAGTGTCATTTAAATAGGACAAATTGTGGAACAAAATGTATACTTTTTATTTACAATAAAACTATTGGTCAAAATAAAAAAAACATGTTTGCATGGTTTTTCCCACCAAAAACAAAGTTCTTGCTGAAACAGGCCTATAGAGGAGAAATGTAAAAGTTGCTCTGGCCCTTTATGGGAGTATACAATACAGGTATGAAAGCTGTCATTAGTAAAACACAGAGGATGCCATTGCTGAGCTCTTTTAAAAATGCCAAATGTCTTGTGTACTTTGTCACTGTCCTAGAACAAATGTATGCAATGAAAGACAACTTCAGGCAGACATAAAATATATAAACTCGGTTCTGTATCAATGTATTATTATTACTATTTTTATATCCAAGTACTACGTAGTGTACCTGATTTGAACTTGGGATCAGCCTTTTGTACCCTCCTGTACAGCAGTGCACAGACTGGGAAAAGGAGGGACATGACTGGGAGCCAATCAGGTGTGCTGCATGTAAATGTGTTACAAGGAAGATACTGATAGGAAGAGAGAGCAGCGAGTAAGCACAGGCCTGACCCTGTCAGTCTACTGCTGATCTTTCACTGTCTAATTGTAAAGCAAGGTGTGAAGAGAAGGCACCACTGTATTCCTTAAAGTGATACTAAAGGCTAAAAAAAAAAATATAGAAGTTGTACTTTCCTGCTGTGTGCAATTAAATTGCACAAAAAGGTCACTTTCCCCTCTTCTGGCAGACCTCCATTTTTGTTTTCTGCTCCTCCCTCCTTTGGGCTGCCTCCTGCAGCAAGCCAGAGGCAACCATGTGTGCATGCTACCGAGCTGGGCTTTGTGTGTGTCCATTGTGTATTGCCGGTAAGCCATATCCCAGCTCCTTCCTCACATGGGTTTGACCAGTGGCAGCAAGAGCCTGTGGCTTTGCTGCCCTCGATTTCTCCTGTGAGAGCAGGAATTGAAAGGATCAGTGTTGGTGCTGGAGACCTCACTGGAGCGGGGTAGGACAGGTAATGTGACATTTCTTACCATGCTGAGAATCCGTTGAAAAACATTTAGATTGTAGTACTACCTTAAAAGTAAAGTGCCAAAAGAAGAAAAAATTCCCATTCAAAATCTCATAATGTGTGAGTATGCATTGCATACTCACACATTATGGAAGACGTACCTTAGAACGAAGCCCTCTAGCGGAGCGCTGTCACCGCTGACAGGACTGCCATGTTCACCTGGTCTTCCAGATTCGAGGGCTCTGGCTGCTTCATTGGCCGAGCCCCGATGATGTCACTCCCGTGCATGCGCTTGGGAGCCTCGGCTGCGGCACAGAGCTCTGAAGGAATGCCACGGGTATGCCATTCCTTCAGAGTGCATGTGCTGGTGACGTCATTGGCTGCAGGGACACTGAATATCTCCTAAACGGTGCAGGTTTAGGAGATCTTCCTTGTATTATAAGCTTACCTGTAGGTGCAAATGTCCAGTGAGAGTTTACTTCCACTTTAACTGTAAGTGTATCATTCTCCTGGTTGTACTGTGTGATGAAGCTGTGCAAATCTCAAGGCTGGATGGATAGAAATATGAATTCTTTGAAAAGTAAAACAACTCTCATATTTATTTCATGTGTGTTTCTTAGCAGTTTGCCTTGAGTTCAGCTTTAACGACTTCTTACTTTTCTTTATATTTTTCTGTTGTGATCAGTGACTTTAAAAGTGTTAAGCTAGTGGGTCAGTATAACAAACAAAAACAAATAGCAGTTTTAGAAGGAAGTCTGCAATGGCAGCACATATTTTGCAGTTTTAGCATACTGTATAATCTAAAAATACCATTCCAAAGTACCATTTTTTTGTATTGCAGCTGATTTTCTTTTTTCTGTGAATGTACGATATATTTTAATGTTTGTTTATTGGCATTCAGCTGTTGTTTAAAGGATAAGTTTACCTTTTAACAAAAAATAATAAATGCACATTTTTTTTTTCCAGGTAAAAAAATGTGCATTTATTATTATTTTTTTTATTTCTGGAGCCTCTAAAGCGGTGTTTCCCAACCTTGTTTCAGTGAAGGCACCCTTTGAAATTCTGCACAATCTCAAGGCACCCCATTCAGAAATGTAAAAAATAAATTAATAGTTTTACATAACTCAGCAATATCCACACACATAGGATACCCAACATTGGTGGTGATTTATTTTTCCAAAGCAAACACAGCTTTGCACACCGGAACAGACTAGTATTCCAATTTTTCACTTCTCACTCAGTTTCTCTCCTTCTCTCTGCTAATGTGTCCCCAGTACTGATGAAGAGGGGCAGGGTTGGGGCAAACAAGGATGCTGTTCAGGTGCCCGACATCCTCCTTATCAACTGATGATGTCAGTGGTTGGTTGTTAGGACACCGGCGACTAGAAGGTTGTTTTAGTTTTCAATGGCTTTGAGTAACCGAAAGGCAAGCTTGATCCACCTGCTGGTTTGTTGACAATTTCACGCAGTTTGGGACAATTTCTATACATTTTGCCAAGGCACCCCTGAAAAAAACCTGAAGGCACCCGGGTGAAAAGGGCTGCTCTAAAGCATTGCACCAGTGATCAGCACATCGCTGGTGCCATGCAGGTCTCCTGTAGACCTGTCACTGTTCTGTGTGCCCGTACGTCATACGGCAAGCAGATACATTCAGACCAGAAGTTAATTGAGAAATACAAGCCGACAATCACAAAGTCTGCTGGGACTTGTATACAGAATACAGTGAATGAGTGACATGACCAAGCAGAGTGTGTTTTTTTAAAAATGGTGATGGCTAGTGGAGGGGAGAAGATCCCCTCCAGTCAAAGTGGGGGGGGGGGATGCGGGGGCTAGTTTGTTCTTAACATGTTACACCCTGAAGGTGGGTGTAACATGTTACAAAAGGTGAACTTCTCCTTTAAGAAATTGAATGCCATATGTTTGCATGCCTTTTATATTACAGTGTATATATGGAAAAAAAAAATATATATAATATTGCTTATTGCTGTATAAATGAGCAAGAAATTAGGAACCACAACATTCTACTTCAGTTTATAGGGTGCAAGTTTTAATTTGTTACAGGAAGATGTTATTCATCTTGTGCATTTATCTATAGCCATGATAAGGATCAAGTACATTGAAAGCCCGGATCCTTGACAATAAGTCAGTGGATCAATGTATTTAAACCAGTTTATCAGAGCAGCTTCACCTATTTTTCTATTTATCTATCCTGATCGTTTATTGTATTATCCATACCATGGGTCTCCAAACTTTCTAAGCAAAGGGCCAGTGGAAGAAAAATACCACAGCATCAGTGGGAGACTTGATGGTGCGTAGTTGTAAAAAAAAAATTACAAAGTGCATGTGGTTAGTAGGAGGGATGATGCCGCATCATTAGTACTGGTGGGAGAAATGGTGTTCAATCATTGGTGTCAGTGGAAAAAATAGTGCCCCATCATTGGTGTCAGTGAGTGGAATAGTTCCCCATTGTTGGTTTCAGTGTTAGAAACTGTGCCCCACAGTTGATGCCAGTGGGAGGAATTTTGTCCCACTACTGTTGTCAGTGGAAGGAATTGTGCCTCAACCTTGTTAACAGCAGGAAGAATAGTGCCTTATATCAGTGGGAGGAACAGCGATCCAAGGGCTGGATAAAGGAATGAAAAGGGCCACATCCAGCACATGGGCCGCAGGAGGATATTATCTACATGTATAAATACATCAGTGGTTCATATAGTGAACTCTGTGTAGAGTTATTCACCCTGAGGTCATCACAGCGGACAAGGGGGCACTCTTTACGTCTCGAGGAAAAGAGATTTAATGTCCAAATACAGAAAGGTTTCTTCACAGTGAGAGCTGTGAAAATGTGGAATAGACTCCCTCAAGAGTTGGTTCTGGCCAGCTCAGTGGATTGCTTTAAAAAAAGGCCTGGATTTTTTCCTAGATACACAGAATATAACTGGATACTAACATTTATAGGTAAAGTTGATCCAGGGAATATCCGATTTGCCTCTAGACTATGTTTGAAGACCACTGATCTATACTAATATAGGTCTAAAAATTCAGACATTTCACCTTTTGTGTCAGATTCTTATTAGCTGCTTGTCATCAAAGTAGCCTCTCTTTCAGCAATATTAACAGCTAAATATGTAGAAGATATACGCTTTCCTGAGAGCATAAACACATTCTAAAGACTAAATTATCTCTGTACTAGGTAACCTATAATGAGTCATCCTTACCCTCTTGCTGTTCTCCTAGAGGAGAAAAAACCTTTAGAGAAGAAACCAGCAGAGTTTTTTAGATGTGGTAAAATGAATCCTATTATACAATCAGGCTACCAGAGAAAGGATATAAAACTGAAACCTCCTTATTCAGTTGCAAAGGAAAATTAAAGGATGCAAGGCTACAAAGCTTTCTATAGCTAAACTGACTAGGCAAGCCACCTGCCTCATCCAATGCGGATAATAATGGGCCCAGAAGGCCCATTAGAAGAGGTTGGTCTTGTCTTTTGGGCTCACTATGCATCTGTGAAAAGTTTGCATAGATTCTGTGTGGTCAAGTTTTTTTTCCATATCTTCTTGAACTTCGACCAAGAAAAAAGTTTGATATGTAGCTTTCTTCTGTAAGCCTGGCTTAAATTTTGTTCTGATCTTTGATGTGCAGCATGGTTGTTTGCACAGAGTTAAAGTGTTACTAAACTCAGGACCCTGCATTCACTATATCTGGTCTCCCACAGTACACACAACATGGAAGTGCAATTATTTTAGTAAATATAAACTGCTAAATACCTTTTCTCATCAGCAGTTAGAGCAGTTTTGTGACTTCTATCAGTGTCCAGCAGAGCACTGGTTAAAGCTTGTAGGAGTTTCTTTCTGCTCTAGGAGGATGCAAAACCCCTGACCTCTGTCTGTACAGTGCTGATTGGCCCTGTGCTGATCACATGCACTTTCCCAAGACAAAAAAAAAACCTCTCTAGCAATACACATTAAACTGAGCATGTGCAGAATGGCTGCGGTTCAGTCTGTCTTATCTGGAGCTAAGACGTGGACATTTGAACAAGAGGAGGAGAAGAGAAGTCAGGATCAAATGGCCTTTTTACACAATGCAGAGGATTAACCCCTTAGGTTCTACAGTGAGTATAACAAGCATGCTTTATTGCATATACAGACTGATTTTACTGTTGTGGGTTTAGTAATACACTCGAGAATATTGGACGAATGATCGTCCATTTTTTATTTTGCATGCTAGTCTCATATCGATAATTAAACGGTTACTAAAATTATGAACATTCTTGTAGGACAGAATAAAAATTCAGAAGTGATGTCATGATGTATTGCAATGTATTTGTATTGTATTTTCGGCCAAAAATTGTGTTGATTAAACAAAAATTTAACAATCTGGTATCATACGAGAAAGATTTCCGTGTTTGTCCCTTCGAATAATTTTGGATTAAAGCTGTGTACTAACGATCGGATTATCGTACAGTTGCTTCGAAAGTGATAGTTCTTTTTTTCTGATTGTGTGTGTTAGGCTTTACATTCATTCTGCCTGGCAGAAAGCATTCAAGATACAGGGGGCTTTACTAACTGGGGAAAATCCTATCTATCAATGGCCAATAGTTAAACTGTTTTTACCTGAACAACAGCAAAAAAAATGAAATCACTTGGACCTGTTGAGCTTCTTTCTATTTATTTGTTCCTGTGGTCTGGGCCGAGGTGTTGCAGGAGTAGAAGGTTCCGTCTGCACAACTCTATACATTAGGATGTTAACTGTCACATTTCATAAATGCTGTGAGTGTGGATTAAAATTGAAATGACATTTAAAATGTCTCTTTTTTCCCAAAATATCCATGACAGTACTTGAGTTTCCCTCCTTGTATTAGATAGTATATGAAATATACTGAGAAAGCTGAGTAAGTATTTAGGCTAGGTTCACACCCGTGTGTTTTCCAGTGCGTTTTTAGAACGTGGAAAGGTGCAGGGGCTTTTTTACATGCAGCATGGTGTATTTTTGGCTCCATAGAGTTCAATGGAATTTCACCAAAAAGCATGTACTTCCTGCGTGACAACAGATACCTCCCCTTAGCAACATTAACACATCCCAAAAGTGAAAAATATAACTGCAACCTGCATAGGTGTGAGCCTAGCCTTACTGTCTGTGTCCTATCCCTTTCCAGGTGGGTAGATCTCAGATTTCTGCCATGGAGATTAGGTAAAAGGAGAGTTTTTAGTTTTTTCTAAATGTAAAATTCAAGAGATTTTAGGTAGGGTTGCACCGATGCGTTTTTTATCGGCAAGTAAGAGTATCGATACTTGTGTTTAAGTACTCGCCATTACTGATATCTTAGCGGTGTGATTTGCGCCCATATAAATGAATGGACTCAAATCGCAGCACAGTGGCTAAATGGTTAGCACTTCCGCCTGGCAGTACTCGGGTTGTTGGTTCGAATCCCAGCCACGGCACCACCTGCCTGGAGTTTGCATGTTCTCCCTGTGCCTGCGTGGGTTTCCTCCGGGTACTCCGGTTTCCCTCACACTCCAAAGACATGCTGGTAGGTGAATTGCATCCTGTCTAAATTGTCCCTAGTATGTGTATGTATGAATGTAAGTTAGGGACCTTAGATTGTACGCCCCTTGAGGGTTAGGGACTGATGTGAATGTACAATAGATATGTAAAGCGCTGCGTAAATTGACAGCGCTATATAAGTACCTGAAATAAATAAATTGCACTGCAAAGAATCACACGTGATTTGAACAGGAATGTGGTGCGATTCCTGTCCAAATCACATGCGGTTTCCCTGTGGGTGAGGTGTGATTTTCAATGCGCTTTGAGCCATACAAAATGGCTCTAATCGCACTACAAATCCCACTGCACCCACAGGGAAACTACATGTGATTTGGACAGGAATTGCCCTGCATCCCTGTTTAAATCACGTGATTTGAGCTTATTCATTTTGTATGGGCGCAAATCACACCACAATGGCATCTGTTTCAGGTATCGAAGCATTTGCATGAGTATTAGGCAAATGCTTAGTATTGGCACCAATACTGGTATCGGTGCAACCCTAATATTAAAGCGGAGCTCCACCCAAAAGGGGAAGCTCTGCTTGTTTGCACCCAAACCCCTAACACTTCACAGGTCCCAGAAGACTATGGGACCATTCAGAAGGCGCAGCACAGCTCATGGGCAACAGGAAACCAGCTGTGAAGCCAAAATGCTTCACTTCTGGTTTCCCTTACTTGCTATGCCGACACCGGGAACCCGGAGGCTAGTGAAGAACTAGCCCAGGTGAGGATGGCACTGGACCCCTGGACAGGTAAGTGTCCTTTTTATTAAAGGTCAGCAGCTACAGTATTTGTAGCTGCTGACTTTAATATTTTGGGGGGAGCCTGGAGCTCCTCTTTTAAATCCTGCCTTTCTTATGTAAATGTCTATATTTAAAATATTTAGATATTTAATTTACGGTGCTTTTACTTTTCATACAGATCATTGGCAATATCCACTGAAGAGTTTGGTAAATTGTGGCCGACCCTCTCGAATGATGTGAAGGAAAAAATTCAGATCCCAAATCCCCAACAGTCTCTTCCTGAATTATTTTCAGTGTTGCAGCACAAATTAAACCTTCATATTGTAGAAGTTATTGGTAAGTAAAGTTAGACTGTTGATGGTGTCTATAATTACAGTTTAGTGATGCAAGATCAAGTCTATATATACGTTTGGTTTTGTTTGCAACTTTAATTTACTGGCTGGCTTCCCAATTGATGTTTATTTCCATCTTTATATTAAAATTTTATCTATAAAATGTTTGGATTTCTTTTCCTTTAGCCTTTGCATTAGATGTTTTCCAGGTCTATTCCCCCACTGATATCTTTCTTTTGATACCCTATTAAATATTCTCCTCAACTCCTGTTCCATATGATCTTTTAGTTCTTTTAAGGATTATCTTCTGGTATAAGTCCATACCTCTCGTCTTTTTCTATAACTGTTCTAACTTATATAGTTATTCTATCACCCTCTTTATCCCCCCCCCCCCCCCCTTTCTTTTTTTTTTCAGCCCCTATCGCAATCAGCATTCCCCTGATATATACTTTATCTGCCTCCCAGATTGTGGCCACAGAAACCACCTTGGTCTCATCAAACTAAAAAAATTTCTCTATTTCCAGCCTTCACCTTTTCTCTATTTCAGGGTTTTGTATAAGCATCTCATTTAGTCTCCACTTGGTTGTTTTGTCCTGATCCACTCCAGCTCGCAGTCTCATTGTGACTGGAGCATGATGAGAGATAGACATGACCTCTATGTTGGAGCTGACCAGCGACTCAAGTTGTCTATGCTCCATCATTATATAGTCCAGTCTTGAATACGTTCCGTATACTGGAGGGAAGAAGGTGTAGTCTCTTTCTTTTGGATGTTTTATTCTTCAAGTGTCGGTCAATTGACCTTGGTGTAATAACATCTTCATTAATTTTAATTTCCTACCACCCTCTCTCTGTGTACCAGATGACGTATCCAATTGTGGATCCAGACACATAATAAAATCTCATGCCACAACCAGGTTGTCCCTTTTTAAATTCAGAGAGTTTTCTTAATATACCCTCCAAGGATGTTACTGGGTTTTTATTCGGGCAATAGATATTAACTAGTGTATATTCAATTCCTTGCGATCTTCCCTTCAGGAATAGAAATTGGCCCTCAGGATCCTCCATTCTCCCCTCCATGGTAAAGCTAACGTTTTTTGAAAACACGATTGCTACTCCATTAGCCCTTTTAACTGCGGAATCTGCATAGTACCACATTGGATAGTACTTAAGAGTATAACGTAACATTTGTATCATGGGTTATATGTGTCTCTTGTAGGAACACTATGTCTATGGATTGTTGGTATATTTCCTTAATTATCTTATGTGTTTTTATGGGGGAATTTAATCCTTTCACATTGTAAGTCATAAACTTAATCAAGCTCATTTCTGAAGTTATTTCACTATCTTATCCATTTTCCCAGCACAGGGATCTGGATGTCCCCCCCTTCCCCTACAACTTCCCCCCAATCTCCCCCCCCCCTTCCCCCCCAGCAACCACATGATCCTCCACCTCTCCCACTCGCCCTAACCCTACCACCCTCAAGGCCTACATATCTGTCGTGCGTTATTTCCACTAGTGATTCCTAATTTGGGGTGAGGCTCAAAACACACAAGCCCACTCCAATCCCAAGTTGTTATCATTAGTTAGATTGGGGTTTGGCAGCATGTCCGACCTCCAGGCAACCCGCCAAAACAATAAATTCTCTTTACCTCTCCTTCTCTCTCTCCCAAGCCATCATCACGCCTGGGCAAGGAGGAACCAAGGGCAGAGAAACCATGATGCAGCCAGGAGAGGACCTGAAGGTGGCGGAGAGAGGAAAAAAAAGAGAGAGAGAGAAGGGCATCATCCTCCTCTCCAAGCAATATCTAGGGATGCTCTACCACTGTCTGACCTTACCCACCTGCCCGCTCCTGTCTACACGCTGCCTCCCTACTTCTTCCTAGGTACCCGCTGCCATTTTCCTGCCCACCACTTTCATTAACTCCTTCTGACCACCCTTCAAGTTCTATTTCTTGCAAGTCTAAATTCTCACAGAAATCACTGTAGTCTTCAGGGAGACTGACTTGCCGACTTTTCATTTTTCCAGCCGATCAGGCATGCTGGAAAGCCCCAGTTATATTGAATTTTTTTTCTGTCTCATATGCTCCAATAGCGGTTTCGATGGTCTTCTTGCCAGTGTCTCTGGGAAAATATCAGTAAAGATGTACAATTTTGTCCTCATATTTAATTTCGGTAGTATCATGTAGACTTTTCCATATTCTTTCTCTATCTGCATAAAAATGGAATCAAAATATCACATCTCTGGGGCTATTCACCGATACTCCTAACGGCCGTCTAATCCTGTGTGCTCTCTCAATTTACAGGTTTTCTATTACAGGTCTTCCCCTTATTGGATTACACACTCTCTTTATTTTCTCCTCTAAATCCTCTTCCTGTTCTTCTGGTAGGCCCCGGATCCATAGATTCTTTCTTCTTTTGCGGTTCTCCTGGTCCTCCACCTGCATTTCCAATTTATTAATTAATTTGTGTGCTTCCATTCTCTCCTCTGCTTCTTCCACTCACATTCGTATCTGACCCAAGTCATTGCATAGTACCCCCATCTCATTTTTCAGGCACATCTCCAATTTTGCGGACATTTCCGCCATGTCAATTTTTGTAGGTATTTGTGATATAGCTCCTTGCTGTTCCGAAACACTCTGTTCCATGACACTTTCCAATCTTATTGATTTTGTTAGGTTCCCTTCCCGGAACCCAGCTGACAGTCTAGAATAGACTTGGAATAAGAAGGGTAAAGATAATATCACTAAGGATGAGCGTCGTGCCCTATATGAACTCAAAAATGCCCCAGACTTGGTTATTAAGCCAAGTGATAAAGGAAGCAATATAGTGCTGATGACAGCCGTTATGAATGTGAAAGTCGACGACAACTTTTGGATGAATCTACCTATGTAAAATTGGATTACAATCCTTTTCCCAGACTGGTAGATTTAATAAATAGGAAACTGTCCTTTGCCTGTGAGGCAGGGTTAATCTCTACTCACAAATGCAAGTACCTCCAAGTAGAGGAATATAACATCCCTATTATTTACATAATCCCAAAAGTTCATAAAAAACTGCCGGACCCCCCTGGACGTCCAATCATTTCAGCCATTGGGGGCCCAATGGAACATGTAGGCAAATATCTGGATGCCTTAATTAAAGAAATGGTATTTAAGCTCCCCTCATATGTACAGGATACTCATGATGTCCTATTTAAAACATCTCAAATTTCAGTACCCCCCCCTAATGCATTATTAGTAAGCATAGATGTAGAATCATTATATACATCAATTCCACAGAGTTGGGGTATCAAGGCAATCTCATATTTCCTAGATCAACTATATCCCCAAATGGATGCTCAGAATGAATTTCTAATCAAACTTTTGGATCTGGCTTTACATTTCAACTTTTTTCAGTTTCTGGGTACCTCCTATCATCAGGTGCGGGTACTTCCATGGGTGCACCATGGGCCCCCGCATATGCATGTTTGCATTTGGGCTGGTGGGAGGAACAGGTTGTCTACTAGTCCAAATTATATCTTAGTCGTGTGTCTATGTGGGTACGCTATATCGATGATGTGCTGATGCTTTGGACGGATGATGTATCTGATCTCCACCTCTTTCTGGCAGAATTGAATCATAATAATATAAATATCAAACTTGCATACGTTTTTGATGAACACCAAATTTCCTTTCTGGATCTGTCAATTTCAGTTAGGGCAGGCCGGTTATTTACGAAAACATTCCGTAAGGAAACGGTGGCAAACACTATCCTAATGGCGAGAAGCCATCATCCTAAATCTCTCATCCAGGGCATACCCACGGGCCAATTCCTTCGACTTCGGCACAATTGTACTGACCAAGAAGACTATAAACAGGAGGCCCAAGACCTTTATTGTAGATTCCGTGAAAGGGGATATTCCCATAGCAATCTTAGGAAATCTCGGTCCAAAGCATCCAAACGTAAACGGGAGGAATTATTGGCTACATCTGATTGTTTACCTACGACGCAGGAATCAGCCCCAACATGGATAATCACTAGGTTTGGTACGCAATGGAATACAGTACGTGCAATACTCACAAAACACTGGCACATACCCAAACACCTGAGCTATTCTCAATAGTAGGGCCTCGACCTTTGTTGGTGGCCAAGCGGGCTACAAACCTAAGGGATAACCTTGTACATTCAGAGTTTGCACGGCCTATTTCTAGAACTTGGCTCACATCTTTGCCCCCTCTTAAGGGAATGTACCCGTGTGGCCACTGCTCCTTTTGCATATTTGTGGAACGCACTGATTCTTTCCGGGATGCGCATGGTACCAAATCTTTTCATATCAAACATTTTGCTAACTATGCAATGACACGGGTTATCTACATGCTGTCATGCCCTTGCAATAAAATTTATGTGGGGAAGACAAAACGACCATTTAGAGTGCGTATTGGGGAACGTATTGGTAGTATTTTAAATACAAAATGGCTTACGTGCTAAGGTCATATATGTACTGAAACTTCCCCCTAGGCGGGGTGACTTTGAAAATCCACTCCTTCTCTTTACAGAGTAGAATAGTGTCAAACTAGGATCTATGACACCTTTTGGGTCTCAATAATGAATGTAGCCTGCAGGTCTTTTTGGATCTGTAGTTGATACACATATCATCTAAATTCAAATTCAAATTTTTTTTTTTTTTGAGGATTTCTGGAGTATTTTTTGAGCAGTTTGTAAATTTAAATTTTATTAGTCTCTTTAGTACAGCTTTTTAGTAAGCTTTTCAAGTTTTTCATGGAATTTGTCACTATTACTGTGTGTGTCTTATCCTACACATCCCTACATATTACTCCTCTCTTTCTTTTTAATATATTGGAGATATATATCTTCAACTTTGATCATCTAATTTGTTGTGGATGTATGGGATTAAAATAGACGTTTTATGTCCCCTGCTAAATTGTTTTATAATTCATCTTGGTGTAAAACACTCCCATCTGAATATCATTGGTTGATTTTTATGGCAATCATTAGTAATTATC